ACCCTACCCCCAAGTGCACAAATTTTTGTGCACCGGGCCTCTAGTATCTATAATAATAAAAGCATAATATGCTAATTAGACCGGATGGCCGAACAGCGGAACAACCTTCTGGATGACCTTCTGGATGAAGCCAGGGCTTGCAAGGGCCAAGGCAGTTGCTGGGGCAGGGCTGCGAAGTCCGAGCCCCTTGCACAAATTTTGTGCATCGGGCCTCTAGTATATATATGCCTCTACAAACACTGTAACACAAAAAACATTATGTATTACTTTATTAAGCAACTAATTAATGTAATTACTAATACATTTTCCTCTTCAATACAATACAGGTTCTTTGTAGAGGTCAAAGTGGAAAAGTTGAGCCAAAGGGAAGAAAAGAAACAGGAAGGGAGAATAACCATCGAGAGCATCCCAAGGTTTTAACTATTTTAGGAAAGTAACAAAAACCACTAAAATGGTATGGCAAGAAATAAAAGCATATGTACTTTTATTCTCTCTACTCAGTATTCCTAGGGGGTCTGAACTGTAGGGTAGAACCCTTGATTGAAGCAATGTTAAGAAAGCAGTATCTTCTTTCAAATTTTAATTAGTCTGTTCACCTTATACTTTGAGCTCTCTTCTCTAGACACAAGAGCATTACATAAAAACCATGTACCTTATTTAACCAATGAATTGTGAGAAAGAGTGTTACTCTCAAACAGTAATTTTAAGTGATGGTGTATAATTTATCATGCTTCCCCTTTCTGTCTGCCAGGACAAGCAGATAGTGGGGTACCAGGTAGCCTGGATTCAAGCGTGAGGTCAAGCCAGAGCAGCTGTACTTCTCTCTCCCCCATACACATTAGTGAGAAATAGAATTTGATTGTTTAAAGTTTTAGATGTCTTTTAGGCTTGCTTGTTACTATGGCTGGAGTCTGGGAAAGAAGCAATAAAACTCTTGTATGCAGATAACATAAATATATATGTAGAAAATCCAACAGAATTTACTAAATTCTACTCCTCGGTCTCCCATAATACAATTTTTATTAAGAATTTTGTGTCAGACCAATACATTTGCTTGAAGAAAATAATTTGACAACTTTAACATTTTAGTGTCATTTTATACTACAAAGCTTTATTTACAGTTCTTCAGAATATATTTCAGTTGTCAAACCATTGTTCCAAGTGTGAAATGATATCAAATAGGTTAGATTTATAGAAAAGCATAACACAGAAAACAATTCTATAATTAAATATATAGTGCCACTAGTGGTTGTTATCTTTAGTTTTCTTTTGAAAATAACCCACTGAATTTTTCTGCCAATAACATTTCACACTGAAGCTGTCTTCAAGAGCAGATTTCCACAGAATCAAAAATATGACAGTCCAATGTACTGTGCAGGTGATATTTGACAGTTTCTGAGTAGCTGCAAATCATTGCTTTTCCCCCTTTTTTTCAAAAGTCTTGGATGATGAAGAGGAATCATGACTTTGATCACTACTATAGTGCTCATACAAAGTCTGAAATTAAAAACACAAATCTGTTTTATAACTTAAAAGTCAACATATTATCAGATTAATAGAGACAACTCATCTTTTTAATATGTAATAAATTTCTCTCTTGTTCTTATAATTAGGAAATTATTTTACAAATGGTTGGAAATAATTAAGAATTTTAACACCTAGCTTGACCTAAATATCAGCTATGAATGCAGCTCAATTTCTCTATATGAGAAGTGAACCATACTATTAATAAGCATATTTGTGCATCTTCAAGGCCATCTTGATCTTACTTTTTCTCAAATAAAGACAGTCTTAGATAAATTCCTATATTGTAAAATACACTCAATAGGAAATATACTTTCCAATAATATTTAAACTAATGAACAGAAGACATTTAAAAAATCATATAAATTATCTTAAGTATAATTAGCTATATTAAAATCTATTATTTTTTAAAAGGGTTTAAGGCCAAGCCAACATCTAATTTATGAAGATGATATCTTTACCATCAAGGAACACATAACCTTTTTGATAAAGGTAACTAATCCACCTCAATTTCATTTATAGAAGGCTTTAAACAACACAATGGTAGAAATTTAATATGGAGATATGAAATATAGAGCAAAATTACAAAACAAACTTTGTCTAATGTTAATTTCTAAAGCCACTGATTAAGCCATCAGCACTTGAGAAAATTTAAGAAAAAATTTATCTTATATCATACAAATGCAAAGTAGTGAGTAAATAGTTAATTCCTCCAGTAATGTGTCCAACTTCTTAACATCTTTGATTGGCTTTACCATAGCCTAGAGCAAAAAGCTCCCATAATTGTACAATAATGTTATAACTGAAATATGTAATTAGTAATTGCTTGGTAACTAAACAAGTTGGTCAATAAGTGCACATAAGGTTCTAGAAATGATCAGGTGTTTGATGGCAGCGAGATAAAAAATGATGATATAGATATAAACAGGCCTTGGGAAACGGAAAGGTTTGAGACTTTTTTTGAGAAATGTACTGACTGCTACATGCATCTTCACATAAGTCATTATATGTGACAGATACTGTGATTATTCTGAGATTATTTAAGAAAAACATTGGGTAGAAGAAATGAATTCAAAAGCTGTTAAGAATTGTGTTGGTTTAAGACAAATTCCTCATTAAATTTATTCCAGTTGAGACTTGACAGCAATCATTTGATTGCACTTTATATGACAATCCACTTTCAGTTATGCTATCTACACAATAAGAATGTAAACCAAATAAATCTATATGTCAAAAGCACATATTAAGTATCTAAATATAGATAAATATTATTTCATAGTTGATCTGATGATTGGACTTTTATTTGAATTACCCATTTAAGTATTTAACGCACTAAACTATATAAAACAATTAACATTAATGTAGAAAGAAAATAGAAATATTTACTTTAGCAGCTTTCAAAATAGAATTAGGAGAATTCAGACCAACAAGTTGGCCCAGAACATGTTTCATTTCTTCAGAGGCTTTCTTATGGCTACCTGTAAAAACATATAATTGATAATACACTGGTACCAATAAGAAAAATATAACTTCATATATAAACACATTTGTTAAATAGTATAATAACTGGCATTCTTGTAATTTATCACTGATCATAGCCCCTTACCTAGGATAAGTAAAAATATATGCCAGCAAGTAAAGAAAGGCAATTTCATTTATTTTAGTATTTAGCTTAAAAAAAGAAGTTTTCTTGCGCTGGCCAGTCTGGCTCAGATGGCTGGAGTTTCATTCAGTACACAGAAAGGCTGCGGGTTTGATTCCTGGTCAGGGCACGTATCCAGGCTATGGGTTCAACCCTATTTGTGGCATGAGGAAGTAACTGATTGATGTTTCTCTCTCATAGTGATGTTTTTTCCTCTCTCCCTCTCCCTTCCTCTCTCTAAAATCAATAAAAACATATCCTTGAGTGAGGATTAGAAAGAAAAAAAAAAAGAATCAGGTAATACATTGATTTTTAAAGAAGTACCTGGATGAGTTTGAATCTGAACATATGGATGCGCCAGAAGCTCAGCAATGGATATCCTCTTTTTAGGGTCCCTTATTAAACAACACTATAAAAATAGATGATTATTATTTTTTTAAACAAAGCAAGTTCTCTTACATAATATTGATAAAATATTTTTTTCAGATTGAATCGTATTGCAGAGGTTGCTTTCTAGATAGCCTACTCAGAAATGAGATTATTTCACATCACATTTTGCAAAATCCCCAAGTATTTATTTTAAAACTAACACCCTCAAAGTGAACATAACATGCCTTATAAAGCAAATTCAATCAGCAATTTCTTTCAATGGACCAGTTATAGCTAAGTCACTTAGATAATTCCAATAATTTTAGGAAACAATTAAGTCCAATTGACCATTGAACAGCATGGGTTTCAACTGTGTGGTCCACTTTTTCAATAAAAACTATAAATGTATTTTATTCCTTGATTTTCTTAATAACATTTTCTTTTCTCTAGCTTACTTTATTGTAAGAATACAGCATATAATACATATAGCATACAAAACATGTTAACCAACTATGTTATCATTAAGGCTTCTGGTCAACAGAAGCCTATTGTTACATTTTTGGGAAGTCAAAACTTATATGCAATTATTGACTAGGGGGGATGGGCACTCCTAACCTCCAGGTTGTTTAGGGTTAACTATATATAATATATTGTTCTTCTATATCCATATATTATTAATGTTACCTTTAACACATCTTGAAGATCTTTCTCTGGAATATCAGGAAATTCGATTTCATGATTAGAGTCAATTATGGCATGTAATTTAGAAATCTGATTAATTATATGCTGAAATGGTGTTTTCCCGTAAGTCATATAGTACAAAATGCATCCCAAAGACCAAACATCACTTTTGGGGCTTATCTAAGTAAAGAAACAAACAAACAAAACAAAAGAAAACAACAGAAATAAGTTGCCATTATTTTAATATAAAATTAAATGTAGACTATTATACTCACACCTATATATCCTAATACTCAAAATCATAACTAAACCTAAATTAAAGTTTAAGTACTATATTTTGTTTACATGACAAAACAGGTTTTTCTAGTTTTAATTATAATTGGTTATTTTACCAAGAGATGAGCTTTACTTTAAATCTTTCAACAAACTCATAATTAAAATATCTCAACTAAAACAAAATACTACAATCTTGTCAGTTTATGAAAATACAAAACTAAAAAATTTAACTGCAAAATTTAAATTTACTTGTTTTTCCCAAAGTTATTGAGTTGTAATAAATTATTTATAATACATTTTTATATAAACTTATAATATGTATAGATTTTTAAAAGGTTATTTAAGTTGAGCTGTCTTAAACTCAAGACAAACTATAGAGCCACGCTGAGCTGAGCTTGAATCACTAGCTGGTAATTCTATGCATCTCTGTTTCCTCACTTCTTAAAATAGAGATAATAAAAGTACCCTGTTGGGCATTAAACAATATAGCTATGAGATATGAATAAGCATACAGAATAGTTTCTGGTTATAAGTACTTAATAAATATTACTTATTAAATGTTCTTTGTATTAAATATCTCATTAGAAATAATGTGATATAACATAATTATCCTTTTTACATTACTAAAAATATAAATAACAATCTATACTAATAATAGACAAATATGTAAATTGACTGTCCCTCTGCAACACCCACGCCAATCAGGAGTATGCAAATTGACCCGACAAAAATGACGGGCCTGTGAGCAGCGCACATGCGCACAGGCGCCAAGTGGCTGGGGACAGGGTGGGACGCCTGCCCGCCACGTAGCCAGGGCGACGCAGTGGGCGATCCCGGGACCCTGCCCACTCCGAGCCTGTGGGCAGCACACACACACACGCCGGCATCGAGCAGTTGGGGTTCTGGGGACACCACTGGAGTGTCTGGTCCTGTCAGCAGGGCCTGGGGGGGCGGCTGAAGTTCCCAGTCCTTTTGGTTTCTGCAGCCCCTGGACCGGAAGCAGAAACCAAGAGTGTGGGGAACACCAGGTCTCAAGCCACATGCGGCTCTTTGGTCCCTTGAGTGTGGCTCTTCCACAAAATACCACAGAATACCATGTGCCGGCACGCACGTACAGTGCGATTGAAACTTCATGGCCCATACACAGAAGTTGGTATTTTGTGGAAGAGCCACATTCAAGGGGCCAAAGAGCCGCATGTGGCTCACGAGCCGCAGTTTGCCAAGCCGCAGTTTGCCGACCACTGTCCTAGACAGTAGAGCAAAGTGAGCCTGGAGCAAGTTACTGTTGCGGGTGGGGGATGGAGGGAAAGCAAAGGTGAGAGACATAAGTCAGAGTGTCGGGAAAAATTAAAAGGCAGATATCCTGCAACTTCTAGGAAATCTCTACCAATGGAGCAAAGAAAAAAAAAAAGACCTCTGTTATTCTGTGAGCACCAAACCAAACGGTTGGGGTCTCAGACAATTCCCTCATATGATTGCAAAGACAGACAGAAACTCCCGAATTGGAGAGGGCTCCCCTGAAGGCTCCCAGATTGGAGAGGGTGCAGGTCAGGCTGAGGGACCCACCCCCTTGCACGAATTTCATGCACCAGGCCCCTAGTGGATATAATAAATGAGAATGGATAAATTCCTCTTTTAAAGATATTTACTCAAATATACATGAAAACAAAATATAATCATGCTCTCCACAAAAGATTGATCTAAACCAAATGACACAGAAAGATGAAAGGAAAAATGGCTAGAAATTGACATATATAACCAAATGCAAAACAGGTGAAAAAATAAAAACAGAAGAAAGCAGACAGCAATGTTAATATTAGAACAAGAGAACATGGCAAAATGTCTTTAAGAGAAGAAACACTTTCTATAGTCATAAAAAGCACAATCAACTAAGAAGATATGATAGTTATGAACTTCTATGCAGTGAAACCACATTTAATAGAACCAAATTAAGCAGAAACTATTAAATTATTTTGGGGAGGGGCAGAGATATTAATATGCCTTTCAGAAGATGACAGACAAAACAGACCACATTATCTGAATAAACATTCAGAAAACTAAGTATTAACTAAAAAATAACCTCCTTTTCCTCTAACCACCTGGAAATTAAGTCAACTTCTAATTTAATCACAGATTTAAAAGGATATCAGATAATGGAAAAATGGCAGTGGCAGCATAGTTTTGCAGTCTCTCCAAATCCCCAGCTAAGGTGGACAAAGTAGCAGCAAAACCATAAACATAGAAACTATTTATAACAAAACCAGGTGAAAAACTATACCCAGGAATGCCAGAATATAAGTGAATGGAGACAAACCACCAACAGCCACAAGTCCTGCACAGCAGAGGCAAGTAATCAATATACCTGAGATCTTAAAACAGAAGCCTCCATATAGACAACAGATGTTCACTGGAAAGCAATGTGAGACAGAGCTAGATTGGGAGGAGTTTTGAGCTCTTCAATAGTAGGAATAAACTCACATGTTGGGATAAAAATTTATCTTCTTTACAGAATCACTAAGGCTATTGGAAAACAGCAGGTGATTCAACTGAATTAATATTTACCAATATATATTAAAGCACTGGGTTGACAACTGAAAAATTCTGAATTTTGAATGTAATTCAAAATAAAATTTTATTCTAAAGTAAAAAAGAATAAAATAATTTTAAAACTAAAATTACAAATTTTAGGAATTAATAAAAATAAGAAACACCAGAGTAAAACCTATAAATAGAAGCAAAAGTAAAACTCGGTGAAATTCAGTTTTAATATTTTAATTATAAGCAAGAATACTAAGATTAAATGAGCAATTATTTAAATCCAGAAGCTAGAAAAAAATAAACCTAAAGGGATACAAATAAAGATAAAAGTAGAAATTAGAGAGCACATGAGGAAAGTATTAATAAATTAAATCAAGACCTGTTTCTTTAAAGATACTTAGAAGCCACAATTTTTGGGAGGGAAGGAAAATATAGTTTAGTAAATAAAAGCACATTTATTGATCAATTATTTTGAACTGGATAATGTACCAAGTGTTTTATATTCTTTCTCATTTAATTCTCAATTATTTTTAAAACAGGTACTGTTTGTAAGCCTAAGTTATAGATGAAGAAACAAGGCAAATGGAGTCGCAAAGACAGTTAATGAAGAGGCAGATCTATGACTTGAACGCAGTCCCTGGACAACAATGTGAGCTTCCATCCAGCTGGTTACGCTGTCACGGAGAACAGGTTAGCTTGGCAGCAGAGGCACCGTGGCAGGCGAAATGGGCCCAACAAAGGGCACTAATGAGCTGGCACAAAGCTCCCTGAGGTGGTCAAATAAGATAAGTGGGAAAGTAGCCAGTGGCAGGCCAGGAAAAATTATATACTAGAGTTGTATTTGAAAATGTAGAATTCACAAATGAATAATTGGTTAAGAAATAAAATGTAAGAATCAAAGAGGAAACAACAAAGATTTCAAAGGTTATCAATTCAATGTTATTTAAGGTGCTAATTTAGTCTTTATTTTTTTTCTTTAATGTTAAAACTTAAAAATACCCTAAGTGCATTTCTTGCAGGAGCACAATGTGTGTCATCACCATATTAAAAGCACAATATTAAAGAACAACCTCAAATCAATAAAGAAGGGTGAAATTAAATTCCATGACAATCTACTTAAAAAGGCAAGGTCTCTGCAATGGCCTAAAAAGTTTTAGAACTTAAATAACTTTCAGTTATCTGTTAAGTTCATTCAGAGAATAGAACATTACCCATTAATGTTAGACAAATGACAGATAATGTTTATAGTACCTTTGATTTGGATTTCCCATTCTCTCTTGAGGAAGACATATCTTTGATGGCTTCTGGGGGCATATAATTAACTGTACCAACCTATTTGCCAAATCATAGAAAACACAAATCAATGAAAATACTACATTCTGCTTTCAATTTTTAAAAACATGAATGCCAAATTCTTGGAAACTTAGGTAATTAGATTTCAGTAATATATCTGAAAAGCTTAAACAACCAACAACAATAATAAGACTTAAATTTCTTCAAAACTCCAGCAAATTGACTCCTTTCAGAATGCTGAGCTTTTTCTATGATTATGGTGGGCAACTACCATAAAACTGTCCAGGCTAAAATTATATTAATGGCCATAAACTTAGAAGGAATTGATCAATCACACATTTCTGTGCTGAAATAGACTGAGAATGTTGTTTTATGCTTTTTTGTATTTTTTTAAATAAACCAACCAACAATGTAGCTTTTCTCCTAGTACTCCCTGGGCCCATGTCCAAACTGAGATTGGATGGGTATCTAAATCATGTAAGAATTTTCACAGTTGGATTATGCCAACCTTACACAGCATTCATTTTATTCTAAAATAAACGATTCTGCTTTCAAACATGGAATACTGTATTTTTAGGGCGTTGGCATAGAAGATATCTTCAAAGCGATTTACAACTAAATGTTCAGTCATATTTTTAATATAAAGGGAAGTGATTGTTCCATAAAATCTTTGAAGGGAACATTGCTCATCTACTCTACCTACTAGACTACAAAAGTCTAGTTTTACTCCTAGAATTAAAGCAGATCCACATCAGAAATCTGTGTAGTACATAGAACACATCATCTTGGCTCCAAGCAGGATTGTTTTTAGTTATTTTTTGCTGTCATCACTTTAGTTTTTATGGCAACAATTTCTTTAAGTTTGCTATTGCATATCCTATTATAAAAATGCAGCTGAGAACAATATTTACTATGGTGTTTCCAAAATAAAGGCCCCCTTAAGAATTTTCTTCTTTTTCAAATGTAAGTGATAAGAAAAGCTTTATTTCTCTGGAATAAAATTAAATTATCTTACTTCATGGACAATAAAAAACATGTAACTGCAATCCTTCTTTGGTTGCTAGCAGGAAATTCTGAGACCAAGTTTCAGGTGAATTTTAGATCATGACCAAGATGATTTCCAAGATAGGTATTACTGCCTCTCTACCTTGACTATAGGAAAATCACCCAAAATTGATGGATATACTTCTGCCAGATTTTGACTTTCTATACAAAATTGTATTAGTCATGGCTTTGATTTGTTTTTATAGTAATAGTATCTATTCTTATAAAAAGGCTTCAAATCCTTTGAAGAATGAGGTAGGTAAAAATAAAATCCCCATTAGCAAAATAATACTTCACAAGTGAAAAGGAATTGGACCCTACTGGGTGGTAACCAACCATTTATTAAGTCTTACCTGAGAATCTTTAACAATACTTGTTGTATCTGGTTGCATTTGGTTTGCAATCCCAAAATCAATTAGCTTTAGCATTCCATCAACTATCAGAAAGTTAGCAGGTTTCAGATCACTGTGAACAATGCCTTCAAAATAAAAATCCTTTGTAATATCAGACAATGTAAAACATACTAAGTATAAAAAAATTCAAATCTACTGGCTGTGTTGATTCCTTTAATTACTCATCAAAATAAATATTCATTTTTAATATATTTTACCAACATATAGTGCCTGCTATGTGCCAGGCACTATTATTAGTTTATTGCTTGTATGGAATCATTTAATACATCCATGCTGAGGTAAGTATTATTATTATTAACCCTATTTTTAGGTGAGTAAACTAAGGCAAAGAGTTTAAATGATTTGTTTGATGTCACAGGCCTCAGTGACAGTGCCATGAGTTGAACCCAGGTGCTCTGGCTTCAGAGTTTATGCTTAACCACTGTAATTCACGCCCACTAGGAAGCATTGTAAACTACACTGCCATATAGTCAGACCCCTAATGCTACTGATGCCTCCATCCCTACAGCTTGATCTTGATGACTGGTGAATTATCTTTAACTTACAGGAAGGAAGACATGAAGAGACAAATTACAATTATCTGGGTTAACAGTTTTGTGTGTTTTTTTAAAGGATACAGTAAAGGCAGAGAAGCCCTAACAAGAACCAAGTCTAAGTAAAGTAAAAACCAACCAGAAGGAAGGGCTAAGAGTTAAAAAACAAAACAACAAACTAATTCCCACACAAGGCACACAATACAAAATGACTAGAATGAGTGAAATAAACATCTCAGATTTTTAGGATGCCTGAACCCAAAGATCTGCTATAATCCAAGTATTTGGAGACCTACGGTTATGACTATGTTGATACTGATAAAGATACATTTAGTATTTATTGATGCATATGTGGGACTTGAGTTCATGCCCTATATTATTTGGTTGACAGTGTTTTAGAGAAATGGTTTTGTCCCTTCATCTTTAAGTAAACTTCCAAAATCTTTATTTTATCTAGTCTAAAGCTGCCAATAACAATAATTTAAAATTAAAGGAGTATGTCTCTAAGAAGACATTATTAATGGATATTTTAACTTTACATAATAAGAGATTTTAAAATACCATGTTGATGAATTGTGTTAACTGCCTCCAACATATTTTTCCAGTAACTCTTGCGTTCCCATGGATCAATGCATTTTTTCTTTTTAAGCCAACTATTAAGATCAATATTTCCACACTCCATTACCATGTAGATGTGCTGGTCTGTGATTTCACTGTCATTAAAAACAAACAAATAAAAACAACAAAACAATAAATGCTTAGGTTATACTATTAAGATCTACTAGGTACTGATCTCAAGAAATATAGCAAAAAGAGGGGTTTTTTTCTTTTTTATTGTTTAAAGTATTACAAATAGTAGTATGTATGTCTCCTTTTTTTCCCCATTGACCTTCCCCTAGCCTCCCCTACCCCCCGGCACATGCCCTCCCCCGCCCCACCCCCCAGTGTCTTGCATCCATTGGTTATGCTTATATGCATGTATACTAGTCCTTCGGTTGATCTCTTTTTAAATAAAAAATACTCTTACTAATCATAAAGTCGAATGATCTTATCACTGTGTTGTTGTAGTTTATTCAAATAAGCGATTTCATTCCGGTAACTTTCAACTGTTTGGTGATCTGCTTCTTCTAAGTTAACATACTTTATAGCATGTATCTGTTTCTTTTCACTCAACACCTGAAATACCTAAATAATAGAACAAAGGGGAAAGTTTAGAATGTACTAACACAATCCTAAACTTATTAGACAGGTTAAGGAATACTGATATGAATAATTAAGTATTTGGCCTTGTTCTGAATACAGAAGAAAAAAAAACATGTTAGGAGAGTAACAGTCCATTCTCAACTACCTATAACAACGGGCATTCAGTAACTCAAAGGCATAAACCCTAACAAGTTTCTATATCAACATATAAGAAAAGTAATTTAAATTTCATATATGTCATAAGACTCTGTTGAATGCCTTAAACTAGGGAAACAACCTAAGAAAGAAGATATTCAGAAATGTTTAGGAAGACTAAGGGTTATACTAAAGAGTCAATTCATTTCATATATGGTGTTTTTTCCATTGTGCCTGGAGTTGACAATTTCATTCATGAGGTAGAGAATATCTAAAAATATGAGAACAAAGGAAATACATACAAAAAAAGAAACTAATATTATTGATCAATTGCTACTTATGGTACTAATTGTTATCTATCAGTATATTCAGTTGTTAAAAGTAGATTAGCTCTAATTTTCAAAGTCAAGTTTACAGAAACAAGATCCTGTAAACATGTCAGGATTTCTGAGGTCTAGGTGCTCCAGCTATGACAGTCAATTTATAAGCAATATTGATAAGGCAGATAATACATTTCAAAAAGTACAAACACTACTCATGTGTCTAATCTGCAGCAGACACGCAACAGGAATGGGGCTTCTAAAACTCAATAACTCAAATACAAAGTGCCAGTGTAAGCAAGGAAAAATTATATTCATTTGCCCCTTTTGACACAATGAAGTAAACATCACTATTTAAAAGTCATTTAACCTTGTTTTCCAGTAGACACTGGCAAGGAAGTGGCTGTCAGGTACAGCTTAGTTACTTACAAAGTATTACTGGGTTTACTTGCGCACACACAGCAAATTAGAGGGGGGAGGGGGCATAAATAGTGATAGGGCCAGAGGCAACAGAAAATAGCAAGAAAAAAGATAAAAGGAATTTTAAAAGAGCATAAAGCCATTTTGTATAAAGTAAACAGCGTTACAAATCTCAGAAAATAGAGTTATCTAATATTCTGGGTTTTCTTTTAAATATATTTTTATTGATTTTGAGAATCATTGAGGGGCTGCCTCTTGCACACCCCACTCTGAGGATCGAGCCCACAACCCGGGTACGTGCCCTGACCGGGAATCGAATTGTGATCTCCTGGTTCATAAGTCGACGCTCACCCACTGAGCCACTCTGGCTGGGCATCTACTATTCTGTTTGAACACAATGAATATGTTTTTAGTAGTTCCTACCACACAGGGTTCAAAGGATGACTGAGATGATGTGTTTGGAGTATAGCAAATGTTAGCTACCACCATTAAAGATCATTAGAACAGAATAAAATGGGCATTTTAAAACATTAAAGTTATCAGGTATATCAGAAAAAAGATTTGCAGGATATTAAAACTATATAATAAGTTCTCAAAAATTTTGAGCAAACAAAAACTTTTAAAACAATTTTTTGCACGAATGTGTTTTTACTCCCTCTATTGTCCCTGCTCTGGCAAAACTCTTGCCATAACTGATGAGCTGGATTACATAGCCCTTATTTCCATTTCATAGTGTTCGAGTTATAACTTGTCAGTTTTAAGGAAAGTTAATGAAAGAACTAGAAAGGTCAGTGTCTTGACCATTCTTTTTAGCTCCATAACTTTTCTAAATGCTCTTAATAAGGTGGTCACTGTCTAAACTCTAGAATGAAAATAGCATAAACAGTATTGGTTTCATAAAGCATGTCTTTTTTCCTGAAGCATGTTGATTTTGCCAACTCTATAATTAAATAACAATATTTAATTGCACTAAGAAAATATGGGCCAGTCATGACTTATCACTTTGTCCTTCACTTACCAAAGCTTACATCTTCATTAAACTCCAAGGAAAAACTGTTTAAACATTGTTAAGCTTATTCTACATCTTTTAAAAACATGCCACTAAATACATACTTCACTTTGACACTCTTAAAATATAGCTTCATAAGTAATAAATATTAACCAAAAAATTTCTATTAAAGCAACTAAATCAGGTAATTTAGTATATTGATAAAAATCCATTGTATTATCCCTTAACTCCCATGCCTGAAATTTGAGGCAAAGGAAAGAACAAAGACAATGCATACAGAAGAGAAATAAATATTCCTGAACAATTGCTACTTATGGTAATGTACACACACAGTCTTAACCACATCTAATTATTATTAGTCGTTTTAGAAAATTACAGAAAAATTTAAGTTAAACTCAGGCTTTGCTTCATATATCATCCTTAACAACTTACATTAGCAAAACAGCTGAGAAGGGACAGTTCATTCACTCAACAATACTTCTGCCCTGTTATGTTCTAGGTACTGCATAAATCAAACATCCCTGCGTTGATGGAAGCCACATTCAAGTGAGGACACACAAACAACAAACCAAGTAAATCACAGAACATGCTAGAAGATGAGCTACAGGGGAAAATAAAGCAGAAAGGGGGATTGGAGCTCATCAGCGATTGGAAGTGGGAGTTGCCGTTTTAAAGGATGTGACCAAGGAAGGCCTGAGTGAGAAGACACTTGAGCAAAGACGTGAGGATATCTGGAGGAAAATTTACTTACGTTAAAATATACCAGGAGAGCAAGGGCTGAATCAGTGAGACTAGTTAGAGGCCACTGTAATAATCCAGGTGAAAAGATGGAAGTTGCTTAGACCAAAGGGATAATAGTGCAGGTAGTGAGAAACAGTCAGATCTGGAAATGCTTTGAGATAGAACCAACAAGATTTGCTGATTCGCTGGATGTATGCTTGAGAGTAAGTAGAGCCAATGATGACTCCAGGTTTTTGGCCTCGCAATTGGAAGAATGGAGTTGCCATTTACTGAAACAGAAAAGACTGGGAAGCAAGAGTTATCTTTGGAATATATTAAGGTTTAAATATCTAGTAACCTTATCTAGCACGAAGAGGTGCTGAGCAGTCAAACTGAATATACATGTCTAGAATTTAAGGAAGAAATCTGAGCTAGAAATAAAAATTTTGGAATTGTCAGCATTTACCTAGTATTTAAAACCATGAGCCTGAATGAGAACACTAAGGGAGTGAGCCCTGGGTCATTGCATCACTGAGATCAGGGACGTGAGGAAGACAGAAAAGGAACAGCCAGTTGGAGAGGAAGAAAACTGAGAGGCCACATGAGAAAATAAAAAAGTTTTAATGAAAAAAGAAAAAGCAACTATTCCAAATAACCCCAAATCAGAGCTAAGAATTAGATTTGGCATAAATATGGAGCTCATTGGTAATTTTGATAATTATTTTGGTGGAGTAATAAAAGTAAAAATCTGACTTATGTGAACTTAAGAGAACAGAATGAGAAAAATTAAGGAAGTAAGTTAAAGACAACTCTTTTGAGATACCCTCCATCCAGATAATTAGAATCATAGAAATTCAGAACTAAGATAAATTTAGGAAATGATCTATCAATTCCAGAAATTCATTAGTTAACTAAACTCTGTTTCTAAAATGAAAAACTCAAAACAAAGCAAGATTCATTAGTCAAAAACCTTGCTGAACCATCCTAAGCATATTAGTCATTTATATCAGGGTACTGACTGACTTCTAAAAACATTCTTTTGTGATAATACGTAGCTGTTGTTTGCCACCCCTAAGTCAATGTTAATGTTATTTAGAGAAGAAAACTGGAGGGAAGAGCAGGGTATTGGAATTAAGAGATGGGTTTAAAGAGATATGTCATTTGTTGGGAGGAGGAAATGGGAGCCGGGGATGGGAAGAATTTTTTGGCTCAAGGGTAATATGGGGCCCCAGAAGTGAAGAAACAGAGAGACCAAAAACGTAAAAAGCCAAAGAAAGGAAAATTTAAAATATTACATATATCTTTGCAATTAAATGTTTTCAAATACTGGGGGTAGATACTTACCTTACTTGAACCTCCACTTCCTATCTGCTTCAAAATGGAATAAATTCTTCCTTTAACTGAAATACAATCGCTTGCGGAAGAAGATGCTGAAATCTAAATTAAAATACATAAAGATGTGAAGGTTGAAAGAATATGCCTGAGAAACTAGCTTGCATTTAATGTAGTGAAATGCTTCTAATTTTGAAATGATTTTAAATCTTAAGTAATTAGATATTAGTAACAATTATTTTAAAGAGGAAATTTACATACTTTAGTAAAAAAAAATAAACTTACTAAATTAATACACAAACTTCCAAGGTCTATCTTGCCTTTACTTCTTAACATAAGTAGAAGATTTAAAGGGGGGAATGGGGAGTGGAGAACTACTTAATGTTCAACACACAAACTCATAAGCTATCACTTTCTTCTTTCTTACCTATTCTTTTTTCTTACACAAACCTCTTTACTTACATACATACATATACATATAAATGCACAAGTTTTCCCATTTGGCATTACACTGTAAAGAAACAATATGCTAAGGTGCTAAGAGTCAATCTGACAAATGCAAAGATCAGCAATGCCTCCTTTTTGCTGAAGAATGTTCAAGTTATTTAATTTTAACATCAGCACCGTCCTCAGCAAACTTTCAACTGATCTACTCTACAATTGGCCCTTCTTCCCTTCTCTTATACCAGAGCTCTCTGGGGGCCTATAAATGCTTTGAACAGATGGAGTGGTATGAGAGGACTTAGTCTGAGCTGACAAGGAAGCTGTAGACACAGAGCACCTGATTAGCTGGTTAAACAAGTTGAAACAAGGTCTAAATAAATCTCAATTTAACTAAGTCCTGCTTTAGATCACAAATGGTAGAATCTCTCTCGTATAACCTCCTTCTACATTAATATAAAATAGCCAGCCGTCAGTCCAGTTCAGGAATTCTGGCTGAGCAGCACTCCCCCTGTGGGAGTGCATTGACTCGCAGACACTCAGCGCAGGAGCTGCCCCCTGGGGGTCAGTGCGCATCACAGCGACTGGTCGTTCCACTACTCGGTCGATTTGCATATTAGCCTTTTATTATATAGGATTAGGATTCTAATTTCTTTATCCTCTAGTGTTGAAAGACACTGGTGAGTCATGATTTATGTTTTCTGTAAGAAAGTATTAGGCTTTGAAATATATACCTATCATCTTTCATTAAGTTGTGATTTTATAAAGATACTTCACTATGGCCAAACCCCTTTTCTTCGGGAGCTTCCTCTCATATTTAAACTGAACATTTCTGAGAGGGAAGAAAGCAGTTCAATTCATTTCCCCCTAACAGCTGACAATTTTATTTTGTTGTTATTGTTTTTCATAATAAAGTATTTCTGACTTATTTCTAATTCAATACTAATATGAAGTTCAGTTTCCTACACAGGACATTCCACATTCCCCTTAGTTTTTCCTCCTCACTGTCACCAAAGTAGTTGTTTCAAAATGCAAATAAGTTCACTTCCCTGCTCCAACCAGTTCCAACTGCTTCCTATCCTTCATGGGGTAAAACTTCAAGGGCCCAACAGGACACTAAGGATCAGCCATCACCCCTGTTCCTTCCTGAACTCCAGCCACATTCTGGCCTCTTTTCAGTTTCCTCCTGAAACTGAACTCTTCTAGAAGCCTCCCAGCCCCTTCGCTTGGTCATGTTTGACAAGCCCTTAAGACTTTCCCTAACTACTAGATGCTGTAAAAATAAAATCTTTGAAAAATAAAATAAACTAAAATCTTTGAAATGGATCATACCTTAACATATACCATCATAGATAAAGCTTATCAAACCTGTAAATTCTGAAGTGGAGTAACAGGTATTTGTTGCTGGTGCTGCTGGAAATAGGCAGGTGGGCCATAGGGTGTTGACCACTGACAAGCAGGTGGAAAGTCATTCTTTATAACTGGAGTCCTAAAACTAAGAAAGATAAATTTTAAAAAACAAGATTCTGACTCAGTTTTTGTGTGTGATTTTAAAGGTGAATATAAACGTAAATGTGTTACATCAAACAGAATCAAAGTCAGTTTTCATAATATAGCTGAATTATTTATCCTAGACACATCATGAGAAATTTTATTTTGGGGGAATTCTTTCTGAATTGCAAAATAAGTAAGATGGCATTTAAAATATGGAGTTGGGTTTATTCTATAAGAATGTAGCCAAGGTAAAGGTCAGCCTATAGCTGATCATAGAGTTTATGAGTGCTTTTTAACATTAATGTTCTACAACAGCCTGCCATAAACAACTGAAAGCCAATTACATCAGAGAAGTTTGGCTTTTGAGCTGAAAGCCATTCAGTTTGCATTTGTGCTTTGCTTGTCTTATTCACTATTGCATCCTCAGTACCTAGAATGGTGTTTGGCACAAAGAGGTCTGCAAATATTTGTTGACAACTAAATAATCTAATTTCACAAGAAATAACTACATCACTATCATAGTTAGCAATCATTCTTTAAAATATACTAAGTATAATAAAATGAGGTAATATATAGCAGAACTGTATTAAATAGGTAGGAGACTAGGTTCTAAGTACTCTAAGGCCAGCTCTAATTAACATCAAAGATGATATTATGCACATGAAAAGCAAAAGGTACCATTAAGTTATCCTGTAATAAGACATTAAAAATATAGCCACTAATTTAAGAATATGATGTGTCACATCCCTTTATTTCCTTTCTTTGAATGCCATTAATTTGCTTTTGTAATATCCCCAAGTTTCCTATCAGCACTGACCATCCAATTTCTTTACTCGTCCCTCATTCCTATCCACTCAAGTCTTAACCTTCGAACACTCCCAGGACCATGTGACCTGTAAAACCAACCCCTCTCAGAAACTATCACATTCCAATTAACACCTCCTTTGCTATAAAGTGTATCCACCCTTTATCCACTCTAAGAATGTGACCTTTAAATATCTCTCTCAATTAGAGAGGTATCGATGTGGCAATGCATGACTATCAAGTTCTGCATACTTAGAGTAGTTATAGGTTGCAGGTACAGACTACAATATGACAGGGACCTTCACAACAATCCTTAAAAATATATTATATTCCCTCCCCTTTTACAGGTGAAAAAAAAAATGATGCTGAAAAAAATAATATGAATTTTAAAAGTCTTAAAGTAAGACAACAGGATTCAACTCCAGATCTATTTGGCCCCAAAGCCCATGTTATTTCTACTATACCAAGCTAAGAGTCAAAAGTAATTACCAGCTCATGTAATCCTCCAAGGCCCTGCTACTGGGTGTCTGACAAACAGATTTTCGGTCAGTCCATTTTGGTACTGATATTGGCGGTGACTGCTTTGAAACTAAAGAGGCAGGTTGCTCAAAAGTGGTTTGTTTCTGTTAAACCGAAAGAAAAAAAATCACTTCTAAAATAAAATAAAATCATACAAAAAGCATGCTAAAATAGGTAGACATATGTATTACAGCCTTTCGATAACTTTTTAATATAGTGTTTTCCACTCTAAATTCTGAAGCCTTTTATATTTTGCTCAAAGGTATTACAAGTCAAGGGAAGGTACACAGTTTTGTTTAACAAAACAAGATCTAATATCCTCTACCGTCAGGTGTATTGTAACAAGTATTGAAATTTTATAATCTAAATAAGTACCCCGCTGTTCTCCTAAAAACTACTCTTTCTCTAATCAATAAAATCACACTCCCCACTTTATGTCTGGGGGCAAAATAGCCAAATAGTAATTATTTATCAAAATCTGAAAGAGCACACACTTACCTTCTCCCTCATAAGAGACATGTATTTACCTCCTACAAATCCCAAAGCAATGATAAATGACCATCCTCTACAGCAGAGATGGGCAAATTATAACCTGCAGGCTGAATCTGCCTGCTGCCTGTTTTTGTAAATAAAGTTTTATTGGAACACAGCTATGCCCACTTGTTTACATATTGCCTAAGGTTGTTTTCATGCTATAGAGGCAGACTTGAGTAATTACAAGTGACCATCTGGTCTACAAAGCCTACGAACCTTTTACAGAAGTTTGCCAACCCCTGTTCAACAGCATCTCAACCAAACAGAGAATCACATTTTGTTTGAACATTATTAACTGTGTACTCACTACTGTCTAAAGCAGTGATGGCGAACCTTTTGAGCTCAGCGTGTCAGCATTTTAAAAAACCCTAACTTAACTCTGATGCTGTGTCACATATAGAAATTTTTTGATATTTGCAACCATAGTAAAACAAAGACTTACATTTTTGATATTTATTTTATATATTTAAATGCCATTTAACAAAGAAAAATCAACCAAAAAAATGAGTTCACGTGTCACCTCTGACACACGTGTCATAGGTTCGCCATCACTGGTCTAAAGAGATTCACTTCAATTTGGGGACAGAGTTATAGTTATTAGGAAGCCTTCACAGATGTTTAGATTAAGTCAGCTTCTCTATTATAATTTTTAACCTACTGGTTCACATTATGCTCTTGAGAGCCACAATGCATAAATCTCTTCTACTCTCTGTACTTTAAGTTTGAAAATAGCTAGCATGGCCACTGTATCTCTTTTCCTGGATAAATTTTCCATTTCATTTAAGATTTTCTAAAATATATATTTGAATTAGTGGTCAGGGTGGTAGTGAGAAACTGATGGTACTGGAAAGGAGAATGTAAATATAGTCATAGAGTGGGGTGTTTGCATTTGAGATTTTGGAGATCAGAACTAAGATATAGGCAGGGAATGGGTAGCTAATTAAGACACTGGTTATGAAGGAGGAAGAAGTTATGAATTTGAAAGCCAGCTGTAGAACTAGTGACATATAGTTATAGAAACCAACAACAAAAGATGACAGTTGTTGGTCTGAAGTAGATAAAAGTGATCCACAGCCTAATATGTTTAAGGAATGATGAGGAACCCCCAGATTGTTCAGAGTTGACAGCAATTAGCAAGGAACAGGATGGTATATACAGAAGGCAGAGCCTCAAAAGGGCAAGACAGAGAAGAAATGACATGGACATAGCAACAAGTAATTTGTAGCTCTCAGGTAAATTGCCTGTTTTCTTTTTTTTCCCCTCTGTGGTTCAGTGGGGTTTACCTCCTACATGCATCCTGGTCAGGGATCGAACCTGCAACCTAGGTATGTGCCCTGACAAGTAATCAAACCTGCAACCTTTTTGGTGTACGGGACGATGCTCAACCAACTGAGCCACCCGGCTGGGGCGGTTCAGTGGTTTTTAATATATTCACAAGTGTGCAATCATCACCACTATTAATCACATACCATTTTTAGTGTCCTAAGAAGAAACTCAGTATCCATGAGCATTCTCACCCATTCTCCACATCTCCTAGTCTTAATGTCCAATCTACTAACCTATTTTCTATCTCTATGGATTTGCCTATTCTGAACATTTCTTATAAATGGGATCACATAATATAAGGCTTCTCACACTTAGCATATTTTCAAGGTTCATCCATGTTACAGCATTTTTCAGTATTTCATTATTTTTTATTAATGAATAATACAAAATTAGAATACCGCATTTTGTTTACCAATCTCTAGTTCATGGATATTTGCGTTATTTCCACTTTTTGGTAATTATGACTAAAGCTGCTATGAACATTCATGTACAAGTTTTTCTGTGATTATATATTTTCCGTTTTCTTAAGTATATACCTAGGAGTAGTACTGTTGGATCATACAGTAACTTTATGTTTAACCTTTTGAGGAACTGCCATACCATTTTCCAAGTGACTGTACCATTTTATATTCTCACCAGTAGTGTAGAGGGGTTCCATATCTTCATCAACACTTGTCACTGTCTCTTTTTAATTATAGTCATCTTAGTGGTATACAGTGGTATCTCATTGTGGTTTTAATTTTTACTTCCCTAATGACAAATAAATGGTTTTGAGTTCCTTTACCAAACTAAAGGTTGTGGGTTCAATCCCCGATCAGGATGCACATGGGAGGCAGCCAATCAATATTTTTCTCTCACATAGATGTTTTTTTCTCTCTCTAAAATCAATAAAAACAAAAACATATCCTTGGGTGAGGATTAAGCAAAAAAAAGTGGAACAACAAATAGATGCACCCCCCCATGCTCCTGCCTCTCTCTTCCTCCCTTCCTCTCTAAAAATCAATCAATAAAAAATATATATATATTGGAAGTCCTAGCCAGAGCAACTAGGCAAGAAATAAAATGCATCGAATCAGAAAGGAAAAAGTAAAACTGTCACTATTTGAAAGTGACATGATATTAAATATAGAAAACCCTAAAGACTACCAAAAGACTGTTAGAACTAACAAATTCAGTAAAGTTTCAAAATACAAAATCTATATACAAAAATCTATTGTGTTTCAGTAATAATGACCTATCAGAAAAAAATTAAAGCAATTCCATTTATAATTTCATCAAAAATAAAATAGCTAGGAATAAATTTAACCAAGGGTTAAAAAAAACCTGTAAACTGAAAACTGGAAGACACTAATGAAAAAACTGAAAAAGACACAAATAAATGGAAAGATGATCCATGCATATAGATCATCTTAAAAAAATAGTATTGTTGCCCAGCTGGTGTGGCTCAGTGGTTGACTGTCGACCTATGAACCAGGAGTTCAAGGTTTAATTCCCAGTCAGGACACATGCTCGGGTTGTAGAGTCGATCCCCAGTAGGGAGTGTGCAGGAGGCAGCCGATCAATGCTTCTCTCTCATCACTGATGTTTCTATCCTCCCTCTCCCTTCCTCTATGAAATCAATAAAAATAAATTAAGATATATATTGGTAAAATATCCATAATACACAAAGGGATTACATTCAAAGTAATCCCTATCAAACTTCCAATGACATTTTTCACAGAAATAGAACAATCCTAAAATTTTTACGGAACTACAAAAGACCCCAAATGGCTAACACAATCTTGAGAGAGAAGAACAAAGCTGGAGTATTATAGCCATGATTTCAAACTATATTATAAAGCTATAGTAATCAAAACAGTATGGCATTCATGTAAAAACAGATACACCAATCACTGAAACACAACAGAGAGTATAGAAATAAACCCACAATATATGATCAATTAATTTAACAAAGGAGCCAAGAATGTACAATAAGGAAAGGACAGTCTTCAATAAATGGTGCTGGGATATCTGGATAGCCACATGAAAAAAATGAAACTGGACCACTATCATGCACCATACACAAAAATTAACTCAAATGGATTGAAGACTTGCATGTAGGATCTGAAACCACAAAACTCCTAGAAGAAAACATAGGTGAATGAGTCTTGGTTATGATTTTTTGGATCTAACAACAAAAGCAAAGACAACAGAAACAAAAATAAACAAGTGAGACTACTTTAAACTAAAAAACTTCTGCACAGCAAAGAAAACCAGCAACAAAATGAAAAGGCAACCTAAAGAATGGGAAAAATATTTGCAAATCATATACTGGCAAGGGGTTAATATCCAAAATATATAAAGAACTCATAACTCAATAGCAAAAATAAAACAAAACAAAAAAAACAATATGGTTAAAAAAAATGGGCAAAAGATCTGAACAAATATTTTTCCGAAGAGGATATACAGATGCCCGACATATGAAAAGGTACTCAACATCACTAATCATCAAGGAAAAGCAAATAAAAACCACAATGAATTATCACCTCACACCTGTTAAATGGCTATTACCAAAAAGACAGGAAACACAAGTGTTGGCAAGGATGTGGAGAAAAGAGAACCTTTGTGCCGTTAGTGAGAATGTAAATTGGTGCAGCCACTATGGAAAAGAATATAGAAAAATTAAAAACAGAATTTCCATATAACCCAGCAATTCCATTCTGGGTATTTATTTGAAGAAAATGAAAACACTAACCCAAAAAGATAATATGCACCCTCATGTTTATGCTCATTGCAGCATTATTTACAATAGCCAAGATATGGAAACAACATAAGTGTCCATTGATGGATGAATTAATTTTTAAAATGTGATATATATACACAACAAATTATTATTCAGCCTAAAGAATAAAATCTTGCCATTTGTCACAACATGGATGGACTTAAGGACATTATGCTAAGTGAAATATATCAGACAAAGAAAGACAATACTGCATAGTATCACTTATATGTAAAATCTTAACTTAAAAAAAAGTTACAGATTGGTGTCTGCCAGAGGTGGGGGTTGGGGTGTGAAGGTAACCATGGTAAAAAAGGGTTAGGGTTAGGGTCAAAAGGTATAAACTTCCAGTTATAAAATAAATAAATTCTGGGGATATAATGGACAGCATGGTGACTATAGTTAACACTACTGTACTGCATATGTGAAAGTTGTTTAAGTGAGTAGATCTTAAAATTCTCATCACGAGACAAAAAATTTTGTAGCTATGTATGGTGACAGATGTTAATTAGACTTATTGTGGTGGTCATTTCACGATATATATAAATATTGAATCGTTATATTGTACACCTGAGACTAATATAATGTTATATGTCATTTATACTGCAATAAAGCAAAACAAAATACTTATTTCTCATAAATGTGTATCTATATTCACATGTAATGGGTATATTGTTATTTTTAATATATTAACATTTTTTAAATTCTTGGTTTTACATTTAATACAGTAAATACAGGTAAATATAACCTATGTAAACAAAAGCTCTTTAGGTGTCTCAATAATTAAAAGAGTAAAAGGGGGGTCCTAAGACCAAATATTTGAGAACCACTGAGTTAGACTGTAACTGATAAGAAATGGTGAGTATGACCATGGACTAAAATAGGTATGGCTCTCAAGCAGTCTACCAGATCATTCCTTCTGAAATGGCCCCTAGCCACTGTTAGAAATTCACATACATTGTCTAGTCTCTATTTTCTATTTCATCCATTAGGATGACAACAGTAAACTGTCAAGTGCTTTTTGCACTGCACAAGTGCAAGGAGCAACATATTGTTTTCTGTAAAGGGCAAGGCCATAAACGTTTTAGGCTTTATTGACCAGATGACCTCTGTGGTAAACTATTCAACTCTGCTGTTATAGTTTCAAAGCAGCCATAGATAGTAAGTAAATGAGTGGGTGTGGCAGTATTCCAATAAAACATTATTTACACACACAGGCTGAGAAACAGCTTTGACTCATAGACTATAGTTTGCTGATCCTGCACCAGCCCACCAGCAATCTAGAAACACTACTGAAAATAGAAAAGAGTTCATCTTGACATATACTTTTATGGAACCTAAGACTTATTAATTATTTTGTGAATAATGAAAACATTCTTTAAGTAAACTATTCTACTAAATATGGTACATAGGAGTTAATAAAATAAGAAAACATTTAACATGGTCGTCACATTTTCAACAATGGCCATGTTATACAAGGGGAAAAGAAAGTTACCTCTGTATCAACTTTTCGGGTTATCTCTGGAATCTGCCATTGATGTGAAGATGCATCAGGATTCTGGTTTACATATTGTGACTTTTTCTTAGATTGCCACTGTTTCTGGTTACTTTCTGGAACCTTTGGTTCTTGATCTTCTTTAGGTTCTGAAATGGTTTTTGTTATTATCATTAAAATGCAAGAATATTTCACTAGAACATGCTACAAACTACATTAGCATTTTGCTCTTAAAAGCAAAGAGAGAAACTAACAACTTTAGGCTAGTTGTTGACAATTTGCTTTTTTAGCAAGTCAATTTTATAAACTTGCAATATGGCTATCTTATTAAGTAGTTAATTAGGGTTTTACCATCAGACACCATTTTAAATTTAAATTCTTCTGGTCTTTACCAGAAAGCAAGCAAATAAATAAGTAAAAAATTATAAAAACATATATATGCCATAAAGTTTTACTAATAAAAAGAACCTAATTCACCACTTTTCACAGACTTCTACTTTTTAACAAAAATTTTACCTTAAAACTACCCTGCAATTTACTTTAAGGGTTTTTGAACAAGAGCCTTAACAACATATTTTCTATTCTATGAATATCAATATTCCATTCCTATCATAATAGATGCAAAAATTCTAAACAAAATATTTGCAATTGATATACAAAAGGATAGCAAATTATGACCAAGTTGTATATGTTCCAAAATGCAAAGTTTGCTTAACATTTGTAAATCAATTTGTCATAACAGAAAAAAGAAGAAAAAATATGACCAACTCAATAAACACAGAAGAGTTTAATAAAAAATCAGCACCCATGCCAGGCCAGCTTGGCTCATGGCTCAGTGGTTGAGCGTCGACCTATGAACCAGAAGAAGGTCACTGGTTCAATTCCTGGTCAGGGCACATGCCCAGGTTGTGGGCTCGATCTGCAGTAGGGGGTGTACAGGAGGCAGCCAATCAATGATTCTCTCTCATCATTGATGTTTCTGTCTCTCTCTCCCTTTCCCTTCCTCTCTGAAATCAATAAAGATATATATTTTTTAAAAAATCAACACCCAGTCACTTACAAAAAACTAATGATAATCCAGGTTTAAAGCAAAACCCACTGATTTGATACTTGGTAAAGAGTAGCTACAAAAATCTACAGTAATTATCATACGAGGGTAACATTGAAAGCTTTTCCCTAAAATATAGAATGAGTCCAACTGGCATGGCTCAGTGGTTGAGCGTCGACCTATGAACCAGAAGAAGGTCACTGGTTCAATTCAGAGTCAGGGCACATGCCTGGGTTGCCCAGGCTCGATACCCAGTATGAGGCATGCAGGAGGCAGCCGATCAATGATTCTCTCTCATCATTGATGTTTCTATCTCTCTCTCTTTCCCTTTCTCTCTGAAATCAATAAAATATATTTTAAAAAAATAAATAAAATATGGAATGAGACAATGCCACCTGTCATGCCTTCTATTCATCATTATACTGAAGGTGTTAAGTGCGCTACAGCAAAGAAAAGAAAGTTAAAAGATTTGGAAGGAAAAAAAATGTTACATCTTTTCAAACAACAAGAATCCATAAGAAAATATTAAAATTATTCAGTGAATTTAGCAATGTCACTGTATCTAAGATCAATAATTAAAAATCAGTTGTATTTTTTATATACCAGCAACAAAGAATTAAAGGATACAAATTTCTTAAAGATCCCATTTATTTTAGTATTAAAAAATATCAAATATTTAGGAATAACTCTAGCAAGATAAGCAAAATGTCTATTCAGAAAAACGGTGCTCTCAATATTTTAAAGACCACTTAAATGAATGCGTCAGTAGACTAGAAAATTTATCTGTTAAGATCTGAGTTGCCGAAACCGGTTTGGCTCAGTGGATAGAGCGTCGGCCTGCGGACTAAAGGGTCCTGGGTTCGATTCCGGTCAAGGGCATGTACCTGGGTTGCGGGGCACATCCCCACTGGGAGATGTGCAGGAGGCAGCTGATCGATGTTTCTCTCTCATCGATGTTTCTAACTCTCTATCTCTCTCCCTTCCTCTCTGTAAAAAATCAATAAAATATATTTAAAAAAAAAAAAAAGATCTGAGTTTTTCCCATTAGATCTCAATCAAAATCCCATTAAAAAAATGTAGTCCGATAGATTGTAACACCTATATGGAAATCCAAAAGACCCTGAACAGCTAAAATAGCCTTTAAGAAGAACAAAGTTGGAAGATTGGCATAGATATGAAGGAGAACAAAGTTGGAAGACTTTCTGACAGATCTAAAGACTTATTGCAATAAATAAGATAGTACTGTATTAGCATGAAGATAAACAAAAAGAACTACAGAACATAAAAGAATCTAAAACCACACATCACACACAGGATCACCTAATTTACAACAATTCAGTGAGAGAAAAGAGGGCCTTTTCAATAAACACTGATCGATCAACTAGATATACACATTGGAAAATAGGATCTTGACACTTGATTGTACATAAAATATATAGAACTATGTTTGTGATCTTAGAGTAGGAAAAGATTTGTCTGAAGACACAAAAAACACACACCACAAAAGAAAAGATTAATAAATTAAAATACATTATAACTAAGAACCTCTTTTCATCAAAAGTCTTCACCACATGAGAGAAGTCACTTATTATGCATATATCCAACAAAAGGATCTGTATAGGTGATATAATATCTCCTAAAAATCAATGAGAAAAAGAAGGAAAACCCAACAGAAAAAAATGGCAAGAGATTCCAACAAGTACTTCACAAGAAGATATCCAAATAGCCAATAAACATACAAAAAGATTTTCAACAGGGCAGGCTAGAAGAGGTCATGGGGGGAAAAAGGGGGACATATGTAATACTTTCAACAATAAAGATTTAAAAAAAAAAGATGTTCAACATTATTAGACATCAAGGCGACATCCTTGGAACTCTGGTTCATTCATTTACATATCCTTAGAATATTTATCATAATACTCATATAGTGGAAAATCGAATGTGTAATTAAAGAGGAAAGAAGAATTGTCATTTAAAAACAGCTTCTGTGTCCTTTCCAGAAAGTATTTGTCAGGCCAACTGAGAAAAATAAGTCGGCTCCATGGTACTTTCCTTCCACTCTTTCTTTTATGTACCTTTTATATAAATAAATTTCCTTTGCCACAGAATTCAATACTTTTTATACACTCTTTATAATTCAATTGAAATACAAGGTCTTATTACCACCTATCACAATTAGGTGGCTGGTTAGCATTCACAAACAACAAAGTAGTTTTGCTTTCTTTTTAAATTTTATTTTACTTTTGAGTGTGTATGTGTGTTTTTTCCTTTTAATTGATCTTTAGAGAGAGGAAGGGAGAGGGAAAGAAAAATTGATGTGAAATGAAAACATCAATCGGCTGCATCCTGCACGCCCCCTACCAAGGATCGAGCCCGCAACTCCAGCATGTGCCTAGACTGGGAATCAAACTGGCAACCCTTCATTGCACAGGATGATGCCCAACCAATTGAGCTATACTGGCCAGGGCCAAAGTATAGTTTTACTTAATTAAAGACGTCTATTATATCACTCTTACCTTCTAATTTCCCTTGAGAACTTGATTCAGTTTTATTCTTCATGGTTACTGAATCAGTAGTAAGTTCAGAACTCTTCTCATCTGACACCAGAGGTTCCTTGGAGTGGATATTTTGAACAGACTACATGAAAATAAGATATAAATAATAAAAGTCTCATAAGCAGTAGTAGTACTAATTTGTCTTAGTGTTCAATATACTAAAGTCTCATCTATATGAAAATATTGCTAGGGAAGTAATCTGTTATAATCACATGTAGACTCACAAACTCCTAGCAAAGATTAACTTCCTGAATTACTGACTATAGCAATAGGAATGACCCTAACCAAAAATGTGGCCAATTTGTTTTCTTTTTTTAATTTTTATTTTATTGTTTAAAGTATTACAAATAGTAGTACATATGTCTCCTTTTTTTCCCCATTGACCTTCCCCCGGCCTCCCCTACCCCCCGGCACATGCCCTCACCCCCACCCCCCCAGTGTCTTGCATCCATTGGTAATGCTTATATGCATGCATACAAGTCCTTTGGTTGATCTCTTACCTCCCCTCAACCCTCCCCAGCCTTCCTGCTGTAGTTTGACAGTCTGTTCAATGCTTCTTTGCCTCTGTATCTATTTTTGTTCATCAGTTTATAATGGTCTTTATTATCCATAAATGAGTGAGATCATGTGATATTTTTCTTTCACTGACTGGCTTATTTCACTTAGCATAATGCTCTCCAGTTCCATCCATGCTGTTGCAAATGGTAGGAGTTCCTTCCTTTTTACCCCAGCGTAGCATTCCATTGTGTAAATGTACCACAGTTTTTAATCCACTCATCTGCTGATGGGCACTCAGGCTGTTTCCAAATCTTAACTATGGTAAATTGTGCTGCTATGAAGATGGAGGTGCATATATCCTTTCTGATTGGTGTTTCTAGTTTCTTGGGATATATTCCTGGAAGTGGTATTACTGGGTCAAATGGCAGTTCCATTTTTAATTTTTTGAGGAAACGCCATACTGTTTTCCACAGTGGTTGCACCAGTCTGCATTCCCACCAGCAGTGAAAGAGGGCTCCTTTTTCTCCACATCCTCTCCAGCACTTGTCATTTGTTGATTTGTTGATGATAGCCACTCTGACAGGTGTGAAATGGTATCTCATTGTTATTTTGATTTGCATCTCTCAGATGATTAGTGACTTTGAGCATGTTTTCATATGTCTCTTGGCTTTCTATATGTTCTTTTTTGAAAAGTGTCTATTTAGGTCCTTTGCCCATTTATTGATTGGATTGTTTATCCTCTTTTGTTAAGTTGTATGAGGTCCCCGGTAAATTTTGGAGATTAAACCCTTATCGGAGATAACATTGGCAAATATGTTCTCCCATGCAGTGGGCCTTCGGCCAATTTCATTTCAATGAGCATGTTAATCAATTGCTAAAATATGTTCACTTAAAGAGTGAGGTTAGAAAGTTTGAATCTAACATAAAATCTGACTCACTATTTTGTTACTATGGTCATATTTTATCACCAAAAATAACAGCATTAGTCAAAATTAAGGTCTGTGTAAGTCCAAGATAGTTATTCTAAATCCAGAAAGTAAAATTTTAACTAAACTGCATTCTTCTCTAAGATAGTTGTGATTAGTTAAAATTACTCCCTCTGTCCCATAATAATAGTAGCAAGTGAATATTTTAAACAGGAATTATTGGCGAATGCAGCTGTAAGTTATGTTGTAGCACAAAATTGCGAAGCCTTCAATCAAAATCAGTGTTTCATGACATCTGTCATTTGTTTTGACGCATCTTTCAATTTTTAGGTTAATCTAATTATTACGAATTATAACTATTTTTCTAATTTCATCCACTGATCGAAATCAATTGTTTTATTTCAGTTGAATATCAACCCATTGTAAAAATAAGATGAAAAAAAGAGAGTTTTCAAGCAAAGATCAAGTTGTGATTGTCCAGTTCTTGATGCATCAAAAGAAAAAGGAAAAGTTGCAGAAAGGTGCAATTACGTTAGCTGCAAAACAATTTAAGTGCAACAGAATGACCATATCAAGAATTTGGCAACATGCTTCCGAACATAATTGTCAAGGAGAATCTTATGCTAATGTTGATTCTTTGAAAAAACAAAACTGTGGACGTAAATGCAAAGATTATGGAGAAAAACTTAGACATATTCCTCTTAGCAGATGAGGCACCTTATTAACCTTTGATAATATTTCTCCCGAAATACTGGATAATACGTTTCTGTCACTTCAACAAGTTATGCTGGAAGCAATGAAGAACGATGACTCCAATAATTTTAAGCTCACACATATAGGGAAAGCAAAGCTTCGCAGCCAAGGGATCCTGCCTTCAAGTTTAAAATGCAGTAACGAAATTATTGAAAAATCCAGAAACTATCTGAACACTCAAAATAAAAATTAGGAGTACTATTTTAATTTGTTTTATTTAATCTATTTTTTTGATAATAAATGTTGCGTTCTATATTTATTTTCTTTTGCTACTATTATTATGGGACAGAGGGAGTATTATTTTAAAGCAAACACCATGAAAGAGAAGAGGTATAAAGAGTATACAATTGAAAAGACCTATGTTGTGGTGCCAGGGGCCTAACTCAAGTTCAATAAGGATAGTATAACCCCTAAAAGTCAGTGCACCAGAGACTAAAACTTCCTTGTTGCTGAAGTCCACCAAGTTGCTCTGCCATATCAGTACATCAGACTAAGACCTCACCCCTTCTCATCACAACTTATTCTCTCCTTTTTGTTGAAGATGTCCTGCAAGATCATATGATTAAACACACAAGAAACTGCAGCTGGGGAGAATGATTTCCCCCACCCATTCCCAAGCACAGGCCACCGAGTCTGCTAAAGCACATGCATATGAAGTGTTACCTCATTTATCCCAGGAAATAGTTGATCTCCACCTCAATCTTGGAGAAAGACTGGGTATAGGACTTCTATACCACTTCCCCTTAGTGATCCTACATCTCTAGGAGCTTCAGGAACAGTTACAGATATCATATAAACTATCAGTTGCCTTCCACGGAAAAAGCTCCGTGAACCCTGGCTCAGGAACCCTTGCTCCATATAAAAATTCAAAAATGGAATTACCTTTAAATTTCTTAATTCACAGGAATCATTTTCACTTGATTTAGATCCAGGCACAATCACCTCTCGGTATTCTGTTCTAGTGGTCTGTCTATTACACACAAAACAAAATAATTTTAACATTTAATTTGAAGTCAATGTTTTCAATATATTATTTTTCCCCATTTTAAAGTTGGCTTTTAAACTATATATTTTTTAATTGGAAAAAAATCTCTTGGAAAGATATTTTAAAAAATAGCATGATTCTAGCACAAATGTGATTAAGTTAGGTGCTGAACAATGACAAAATTGATAAGAGATTGGCCCTGGCCTGTGTGGCTCAGTTGGTTGAGCGTTGTCCCATATACCAAAGGTTGCCTGTTCTGCTTGTTTGATTCCCGGTCAGGGCATATGCCTGAGTTGTGGGCTGGATTCCCTGGTGGGGGGTGGGCAGAAGGTAGCTGATCAATGTTCTGCTCTCATATTGATGGTTTTCTGTGTCTATCTCCCTTCCTCTCTCTCTAAAAATCAACAAAAATATGTTTTTTACAAGTGATAGATGGCCCTGCCAGTGTGGCTCAATGGTTGAATGCTGACCTATGAACCAGTTCGATTCCTTTGGGGCACATGCCCGGGTTGCAGGCTCGATCACCAGTAGGGGGCATGCAGGAAGCAGCTGATCAATGTTCTCTCTCATAATTGATGTTTCTATCTCTCTCTCCCTCTCTGAAATCAATAAAAAATATATTTTTAAAATAGTGATAGAGATTGGCAGGTAATTACATAATTCAGTATGTAATAAGTAACAACTGAAATTATGATGTGACTGAGAAAGGGACAGCAATAGGTAGAACTCCAGTTCAGACTGCAAATAGCTTAAGGATAGAAACTAGACTCTAAACCCACTATGGTCCTCCATAGTGCCTAGCATACAGTCTATCATAACAAGCAAGAAGATAACTGGTTTGTTTTTGTTTTCTTGGGAGTGTGAGAAATGCTCTATTCTTCAGCTAGATATCTGAAATGAAGATAACAAGATAATACATTCTGGAGCTTAATCTGACAACCAAAATGTTCTTTTAATATTAATATGTGTTGAGCCCTAAGAATAATAGAAGTTTTAGAAGATACCAACTAAAAACAATCAATTGTGTTTCTAAAGTTTACTTGCCAAGTGATTCTCTGGAATCCAAAGAGACTTTTCAAATAGAAATGTTGTTACATAGTGATTAGAGTTAGGAATAGGCCAGAAGTCCCTTAGCTAAGCTAGAAAGTAGATCCACATTTCTTTCAAGGGAACATGCAAGCAGAAAGAAGAAGGATGTAATAAACAACATTTTATCTCTACCTACTCTGCTCCACTTCTTGATCCCCTAGCTTCTGAAGCAAATGAATGAATTCATCCTCCTTCCCAATGATGGCTGGAAAAGAAATCATTTCCAGGCTTCCTTCACTCCTGCTATGGAGACTTCTAAATACACACTAGGAAGAAACTCTTATCAGAACGGCTACCGATTTAAGTGAGAAATGTTCAAACAACAGTTTGGGGATGTTTGCATAATCTTTTAAGCTTCAAGTGTCTTAACGATTTTTCCTTTATGTTTCCTATATTTTAATAGTTACTTTAATGAATATTTTTATTTTTTATATTATCCTTTTCATGTTGTTAACCCTCACCTGAGGATATTTTCTCCATTGATTTTTAGAGAGTGTAAGGGAGGAAAGGACAGAGAGAAACATCACTGTGAGAGAGACACATTGATTGGTTGCCTCCCGCATGCACCCCGACTGGGGCCTGGAATCGAACCTGTAACCCAGTTATGTGCCCATGACTGGGAATCAAATCCACAACCCTTTGGTGGGTGGGCTGACGCTCTAACCACTGAGCTTACCTGCCAGGGCTAATGAATAATTTTAATAAGTGAAAAAGCAAAATAGTCATATTCTTCACTCATTTCTTTGTCTCTGACATTTAGAGATTTGGTAACCTTTAATACTAAATCAAATTTTAATTATAATTACTATTATGCAGTAAAAGACTTTAAGACCATGTTGCCATCAATCTTAAAAACAAAGTAAAAACTTAAAACCGAAACATACCTTTTTGTAAATCTTGGTACAACTGAATCATCAGTCTCTTCATGACAATCCGGACTATTTAGAAGATTAACTGGGATTCTTCCAAATGGACATGACTAAAAATGTTTTGAAAGATTAAGTGACCAACAAGGAAATAAACAAAGACCTTACCACTACCAGGTTAATCAAAGTAAATTAAAACGTACTCACCCGTTTCGCTTTGTTTGTTTGTTTTAAGGGATTTCGATGACCTATGTCTGCATCTTGAGGGGGCACGTTCTCTCTAAACAGAAAGAAAATACCCCCCAATTTAAAAAAAAGTAACATTAAAATACGCATCTTCATTAACTGCTTAATACTTTTATCACTTTACATGAAAATATGTATGTAAACATATAAATAATATAAATGTATGATGAGCATTTAAAATACTGGTTCAGTTTCCTCACCCGTACAAAAACCTGGCTTTTGTAGTCTGTCCTCTGGAATCACAACTGATGTCTCTATTCTGTAAATGTCCAAGTGAATTGGGGAATGATTCTTGCACACTTAATACTGGTAATGCTGTAAAATTTTTGAAATTGTGATTAAATTTGTAAAGACATATGGAATACACAAAAATGTAATCTCACAAGTAAGAATATTTAAAGTCAATTCATAGATCTGTCCCTAAGTAAGATATGCAGATATGAAGACATTGTCAAAGATAATTGTCTAACTCTATTTAATAACTGTTTCATAATCACATAATTGTTTCCCCAGGGTAAAGACACGTCCTATTTCCAAACACAAAAAGTGATTCTCCTGCTTAGATTGAGTTGTTTTTAAAGTGTTTCCAGTGACAGTGTGATCAACAACAAAATATCCCACATAAAAGTAAAGACTTCATTACTTCTAAATGCCTTACCTCCTTTAAATCTGAAATTTAAACTTATATTGTGACCATTCTACATCAATATTTTTCTATAAAATACTAACCTTAATCCTTTCTCACAGGTAATCAGCCGCAGAAAAGTATCAGCATACATAAATACATTTACCTGATAAACTCTTCTTTTCCTCTTCTGGAAGCAGCTGCTTTTTTCCAAGGTTTAAATTCTGAATGGCAATTTCCAGCATTTGTAGTGGTACTGCCCTGCATTCTACAGCTTTATGAAGAAGTTGCTTACTTTTTTTCGTATTACCTAACAAAGTAAAAAATGATTGTTATTTTAGTGCAGCCATCTTCACTCTCCAGATTCTTATTCGTCAGGACCTTGAAAAAAATTAAAAAGCTTTAGGCAAAAACACTCATTTCAAGTCTCTTGAGCTTTATTTCATAAGCAAATAAGCAACCTAACTTCTGATAAACAATTCATGTCAAATGGTTAACTTGTGTAATATGTGACTGGTGCAATTATGTATTAGTGTATAACCACTGTCCATTTTCAGAAGTAAAAGAAGTATAACAAAGCAGTTATAAAGTGGAGACACCTTAGGACCCTCAGGGAATTTAGGCAAAGGGAAAACTAAGCCCTAGAGATTATAATAGTCCCAAGAGCATCAACCTGTTACAATGCAGTATAATAATGATCATTCATGACATTCAGTCATTAAGAAAAAGTTGACATCTTTTGCTAAAGGGAATTCTCCATCAAAAGGATTCTTGTGGGGGAAAGAAAAGTAATGATAAAGTAATGATAGCTAATCTTTAGCTATCAGACCTAGCTACACCACCCCAAAAATGCAAAAATAACTACAGATAAATTACCAAAGAAATTTATTTCAACTGAAAAATTACCCAATCTATTTAGTCTACTATTTTGTTTATAAATACTACAATGTATACATCATGTATCTTATAGAATATGTTTTTAACATTTATGGGAGCCACTAAGCTATGCTATGAATTTGGCACTTAGGGTATTAACATGATTAAGAGATTGCCTCTAGCTTCAGACAGTTTTTAAGTTTTAAGAATATAAATATACTAAAGGCCCAGTGCACGAAATTTATGCAGGGGGGAGGGGGAGGGCGGTCCCTCAGACCGGCCTGCACTCTCTCCAATCCAGGACCCCTCGGGGGATGTCCAACTGCCTCTCGAAATCTGGGACGGCTGGCTCCTAACCGCTCACCTGCCTGCCTGCCTGATCACCCCTAACTGCTCCCCTGCTGGCCTGATCACCCCTAACCGCTTCTGCCTCACCCTGCACCCAGGACCCAGGATTCCCTCCTCCAGCTGGTCACGGGCACCCGGTAGCCGGGCTTCCCTCCCTCTGGCCGGCCACAGGCACCCAGGACCAGGGCCGGCTTCACCCGGGCCGGCTGCAGCCGTAGGGGACCGTGGGCGGGCGGCTTCACCTGGGCCACAGCTGCAGGCGCCCAGGAATGTGGGGCAGGTGGCTTATCCCTCTCTTTGGCCGCAGCCTGGCTGTTCCCCATTCCTCTCTTGCGAGCTCATTTGTGCCTGGCTGGTCCCCATTCCTCTCTCTCTCTCTTTTTTTTAAAAATATTTTATTGATTTTTTTTTACAGAGAGGAAGGGAGAGGGATAGAGAGTTAGAAACATCGATGAGCGAGAAACATCGATCAGCTGCCTCCTGCACACCCCCTACTGGGAATGTGCCCACAACCAAGGTACATGCCCTTGACCAGAATCGAACCTGGGACCCTTCAGTCCACAGGCTGACACTCTGTCCACTGAGCCAAACCAGTTAGGGCCCCCTTCCTCTCTTGCGAGCTCATTTGTGCCTGGCTGGTCCCCATTCCTCTCCCCGCAGTGTTGAGTGTCTGAGCCGTTATGGCCTTATGGCGTGAGGGTGTGACAACCATTTGCATATTAGTTCTTTATTATATAGGATTTCATAGTGGTTAAGTCTACATTTATTGAGTAGTGACGGAATTTCATGTATTGAACATTTTAGCATAGCAAACAAAAAAGGCTTAGATAACTAGTAATTAGAGAGCTTATAGACCCCTATGACAATCTGATAAAAACTACTGAATGTCCTCCACTCCTATGAACACCAAACTACACATATTTCAGAGATGTTGCATTATTTCCTGAAAGCCTATTCATCAAGCTTTTTCAAAATAATCACAATTTTTACCTTGAGGTTATTACTACAGTGGGGCCTTGACTTACGAGTTTAATTCATTCCGTGACGGAGCTCATAACTCAAATTACTCGTATGTCAAATCAACAGTGAACGAGTGAGACACGTGATGCTGGGCTAATGTTGTGGCATTCACTGTGACTTTCGCTGTGCCAACTAGCGGTAGGGTATCTGAAGCTGGCTTGTAACCCGAATTTTAGCTCGCAACTCAAAGCAAAAAATTGGCCGAGAGATGGCTCATATCTCGAAAAACTCGTTAGTCGGGACACTCGTAAGTCAAGGCCCCAATGTATATTGCAGTGGTATAGGTAAAGTGTATTTCTTTTTTACAGATCAAAATCTGGGATTTTCAACATTTACTAGAGGCCCCGAGTGGGCCTAAGCTGGCAGTCAGAGATTCCCCCAAGGGGTCCTTAGCGCTTGCAGAGGAGGCAGGAGAAGCTCCTGCCACCACCACTGCACCCGCCAGCCATGAGCCCAGCTTCTGGCTGAGTGGCGCTCCCCCTGGGGGAGTGCACTGACCACCAGGGGGCAGCTCCTGCGTTGAGCGCCTGCCCCCTAGTGGCCAGTGCGTGTCATAGCGACTGGTTGTTCTGCCACTCGGTCAATTTGCATAGTAGCCTTTTAGTATATAGAATGTGTTCTGAAGATGTAAAATTTATAGTTGCTATTGATAGGCCATAATATCTCAAAAATTATTTAGGTAGCATGAAGGAAAGATACAGGTCTTAAAGGCCTGACCAAACTTTCTTTAATAAGCATGGAGTTTGCACAGTGTTTTTCTCCAACCTCAACCCTAGAGAATACTCTCCAGTTATTGAGCCCTGCTTTGGGAACTATCATGGGGATTCTGGTTGAGCCAAACCAATAGTGATAATGTGTGTATCTGGCAATAAATGGGATCAGGGATGGAGCAAAAACAAGGCTGAGGGAAAATAGGAACATATGGCCAAAAGGATAGACTAAGGGTAGATCCAGAAGCCCCAGAAAATGAGAAGACTGAACAGCCAGGCTAAAAATGTCTGAGGAAGAGATTGCCCCTGGTCCTATTTATATGAAGAGGCAGGTGAGCAAAAAAATAAGCTTCTACAGCAGTTTACAATTTTTTTTTCTAAAGGGGAACTACCAATTAATGCTACAATTATAGTTTGATGTATATTTCAGTGCTATGAAACCATAGCATAAGAAAAGCTTATCTAAGCTGTAGCTTAAATATCTTGTATCCTTCATCCCACAAATACTCAGTGAAGAAGCCACTTTCCTTTAGACTTTTCCTGAATCTAAATAAACACAAAGATGATGCTCATGCTTATTTCCCTGGATTACTCCTTACAAGTGGAAGACCTAGTATAACAAATATTCTCTGCATTTCCACTTAGGTGGGATTCTTCCCCCATAATCTCATCTGATCAACTTTCATATCTTTTGCCTCAAATTCCTACTTCATATATATGATGTAATATTAGGATGAGTTATAAAGGAAGTTATCTTTTACTTAAAATTTGGACTAGATATTCAAATTACCTTGTGATAGTTCATATTGTGCAAAAGATATATGCACAAAAGCAAATTTCTTGCAGTTTGCTCTGGCCATCTGAAAGTAGTCACGTGCATCATCTGGCTCTTGAATACTGTAATAAAGATTCCAGAGTAAAATTTTAAGAAAAAGGACACAGCTACCTAAGTTTGATGATTCTTCATTCTATTTTCCAAAAGCCATGGAGTATTATTTTTCCTGAAGATTAAATATTAATAGGTTATTTTTAAAAATCTTTTTAGGCAGTTAAGAATAGGAAACTTGTTGAGATATGTACATAGTAAAGAGAGTTTACATTATTCACTTGCTAATTATAAGCAAAAAAATATATTAATTTTCTTCCAAGTAATCCTGACGTGCTTTCATTTTACTTTTTTGTAATATAGCTATGTAATGTAGTTAGTTAAATGTAGTTAAAATATTAATACTTACGCTTTCAATTCAGCAAATCTGACTTGAATTCGAGCAAAACTCTCATTTTGGCCATATTTATCTGGAGGAAGTGCTTCAATTGCTTGACTGTAACGCCCAATCAATTTATTTAAAAGGACATCATTTAGCGGGAAACTGTTTTTCTCTAGTTTGAGCAACAAATTCAACCAGTCCTCTGGGTTATTCGCCATCATCATAATTTGGTTAACAGTTCCTGAATTATCTGAATAACAGAAACAAAATATGCCATATCAAAAGAAAAACATAAAAACAAATGCCAAATTGCACTTTTCCTTCAAATTAATTACACTCTCAATATCAATGTACATAAACTCCTTAAAATTTTTAAAAACTTTAACAATTGGTGTAAATATCAGCAACTTATTTATTGCATTGATATCTTTAATGAGGTTATATTGTACTCTAAAAGGTTAGGTATTTTGAAGGAAAAAAATGGAAATAAATGTTATTTATAAGTAGTTTTAAAAAACCATATGTAATCTAAGAAAATTTTATGCTATAGCATAATTCTACTTTAATATCCTAACTATTCAAAGATAACCTAAGGCTCTCCCACCACCACTTGTACCAACTTGCTTAGAAAATTCATTACTGACTTATTCATTAAAAACTTAGAAACTTATACCATTTCTATTGTAACCTTTTTTAATCCAACATTATCTCCAGAGACACAAAAGCATGGAACAGAGTACGGAATCTCAGAGGGAAGGTGGGAAGTGGGAGGTAATCAACCAAAGACCTTATATACATATATGCATAACCCATGGACACAGACAATAGGGTGCTGAAGGCCTAAGAGGGGAAGAAGGGGTGACTGGAGGGGGTCAATGGGGGAAAGAAGGGGGACATATGTAATACTCTCAACAATAAATTATAAAAAAAAAAAATTGGATTAATGTCAGTCTCCCGTTAATCACTAGTGAACATGATTAAATTCTAGGAAACTATCTTTCCTTCTATCGGTTTCAGTTACCTTTGACAAGGACTACATCTTTACTTTTGCTAACAAAATTACTGTTTCTGCTTTCTATGAAAACATAGCACATTCATAATTTTGCTTTATTTTTAATTTAATCTGATCTGCTCTTAACTTCATTTTCTAGTTTGCCTCCCATTGCTTTCCTAACAAATTAGTTTGCAAAAATGTCTAAGAAACAGTGTCTTTGCAGATGTAGTCCTCACACCTCTGAGTATCCCATTCTACCTCCATTCAGCACTTGAAGCATTGTATTTATTGTGCTAGTATTTATTTGTTGCCAAAAACATTACATACAGCATAGTGCTTTAATAAGTTCTTCTCATCTAGAAACCATGGTTTTAAGCATCTTTGAGTCTTCCTCAATCCTTAATCTAATGTTGTACATCCCAATTATCAATGTATGTTAAGTATTTACAAGTTTGAGTAAGCTGAGGGTTTTAAACAAGGACTCATCTAATTTGGTGTACAAGCTTTGATAGCGCTTTTTAAATACACATTATAAAATATGGTGGTATTCCACTAAGAATTTGCTTAACATCAAAATGATTCGTTTTGGGGTTGTTTCAAGTAAATATGATCTGCTATCATGAAGAGATTACAGGTTCTTCCATTTATTTTCAATCCTTCATCCATGTAACATTTGGAATAGATATGACAAACTTATCTAAAGGTCAGTTTTCAAATGACCTCAACAATCTGAATGTAGTAAACTAGGCTTCTGAACTAATACTTTTCATAATGGTTGGGTATTAAAATCTGGGCACTTTCACTCATTCATCATTCAGTAAATACTAAAGTGCCTACTACGTGCCAGGCACCATTTTAAGCTGTGTAAATATAACAAAACAGATAAAAACCATGTCCTCAGGGAGCTCACACTCTAGTGGAGAGACACAATAAACACACGAGTAAGTCAGATATAAGGTGATTAGTGCTAGGAAGAAAAATAACAACAGGAAAGGGAGAAAGAGGACACATTCCCACCCCTGCAGGTTACTATTTTAAATGGGTGAGTTGACATTTGAACAAAGACCTAAAGGAGTTCAGAATAAGCAGATTATCTGGGGAGTGGTGTTCATTTATGGCAAAGGGTAAGAGAAAAGGGACTGGAGTAAGAGCTGGTCTAGCATATGGGAGAGATAGCAGGAAAGCCAGGAGAAAGGAAAAAGGAAAAGGTCAAGGGATAGGAAGACTCTCCAAATCAAAAACTGGGTGTTTGATTTTAAATTATACACAATTTTATTAAGATTGGTGAGACTTTCTGTTTGCAGCAAAAAAGGAATGAAAACAAAAATAGTACATTAATTGATAGCAAGTATATCAGCAGAAATAACAGCTGACAATAATTGGAGAGTTAAGAAAACTACCTCTGGGTACACTGTAATAAAGGATAAGTTGTGTGTTTTTTTAATATTGTGGGAATATGTCCAGACAAAAGGGTTAAAATATAGAATATGTGTACAGTACTCTATTTGGTAAGTAGCAATTACTGAGAAAAGTACATTATGTGAACATACAGTAGTTAACTTTTTATTCCTTTACCTTAGAGGGCACTCTAAAAAATAAACTCACCTGTGGTATCGGAAGAGGAAGATATTTTATTCAAGCTTAGCTCATCAGTAAGGTCTTCATTTTTAAATTTATTTTTAAAATCTCTCACTTTGTTGATTATTGAATCAATTGTCAGTTCTCTACCACTTAAATCCTCGGCCTCCATATCTAAGGAAAAAAATTGAACTAGTCATAATTCCTATATTAACTAGCATTAAAGAGAAGAAAACACTGCAACTAGCCTTTTAGAACCTAGAAGACTAAAGTATTACTCTGTGAACACATGTTAACACCAATGGAGGTATTATTTGCAAAGCTATGTGCATAAAAATGCATATATTTGACATTTGTCAGCAAGGTTACCAATAGGCTAATTACTGTTGATAATTACTGTTCCCTATATTCAAGTGTGGGTCGATATTTTGGCTGAAAAACCAAGGTGGTTAAAAAGTTGTCAAAATAAGAAAAAGAAATTGGAACAGAGACAGACAGTCCTCTTGGCTTCGGCCCAGAAGGACAAGACTCCCCCTGTTCTCCAGGATCCAAGTGAGGAGGCACTCCCCAGGGTCAGGCCTCCCCCGTATGCTTCCCCACCCGCCGGCCCGACGCCCGACGGTGGCTAAAGACCCTGGCCCGGAACCTCTGCCTCCTCCACAGCCGGTTTCCTTTCCTCCGAAAACACCAGTCCAGGACCCGGCTTCGTTCTCCCCTCCTCACACTAGGCAAGGGACAGCATATGGAGAGAGAGAGGGAGAGGGGAAGAACCTGCAGGACCCAGCGGCATCCGCCAGTCCTGCAGTTCCTATACTGCCACTACGGCAGGCAGGCCCTTTAGATTTGGGTCCAGACGGGCAACCTTTGTCCCCTTTTCTACCAGTGACCTGTACAATTGGAAGAACCAGAATCCTTCTTTCTCCCAGAACCCACAGGGGTTAATCTCTCTTTTAGAGTCTGTGTTTTTTACCCATCAACCTACCTGGGATGATTGCCAACAGTTGATGCAAACTCTTTTCACTTCGGAGGAGAGAGAGAGAGTCAAGGCGGAAGGGAGGAGATTTGTACTGGGTCCGGATGGGCAGCCTACCTCTGACCAAGATAGATTAGAGGCTGTGTTTCCCTCCAGGCGACCTGACTGGAATCCCAATAGTGAGAGGGGAAAGGAGGCTCTCGATCGGTATTGCCAGACTCTATTGGGGGGCATCCGAGCTGCTGCTCAGAGACCCACAAACCTCTCTAAGGTGACAGAGACAGTCCAGGGGCCTAATGAGAGCCCGGCAGCTTTCCTTGAGAGGCTGTGCGAGGCCTATCGGGTGTATACCCCCATTGACCCTGATGCCCCAGAAAATCGGAGGGCTGTCATTGTTGCATTTGTTTCCCAGTCGGCCCCAGATATTAGAAAAAAATTGCAGAAGTTAGAAGGCTTTGAGGGGAAATCAATCTCTGAGTTGGTTGAGGTAGCCCAGAAGGTTTTTAACAATCGGGAGGACCCGACGGCAGGTTTAAACACCCGGATGGCCAAGGTCCTCCTGGCCCTAAACGAAGAAAAAGGCCCAAGGGGCCGAAGTGACAATAAGAATAAAGAAAAGCCTCGTGAGAAAAAAGGAGTCCAACCCAAGCTTGGGAAAAATCAGTGTGTATTTTGCAAAAAGGAAGGACACTGGAAAAGGGAGTGCCCTGAACGTGCGGGGGAACTGACTTCCGTGCTGGTGGAGGAGGTGGATTAGGGTTGTCAGGGCTCAACTGGCCCCCAAGAGCCCAGGATAACTCTGACAGTGGGGGGCCAAAAGGTGGACTTCCTTGTGGACACGGGAGCCACCTTCTCTGTCCTGCAACAGCCAGTGGGTCCGGTCTCTAAGACCAAACTCCCCATCAAAGGGGTAACTGGAAAAATGAAATCCTACCCATGGACTAAAGGTCGGATCAGCGACCTAGGAAACGGCTCAGTGACTCACTCATTCCTAGTAATGCCAGAGTGCCCTTACCCTCTGCTAGGCCGGGACTTGCTGAGTAAATTATGGGCCACAATCTCTTTTGAAGGGCCAGGGCCAGAGGTCAAGTTGCAAGACCCAGGGACTGCGGGGATCTATCTCCTGACATTGCCCTTACAGGAGGAATATTTACTACATGAGGAGAAGCCTGGGGAAGTCTCAGCAGATGCCTATCTCCAACAATTAAGACAGGCTATCCCGGGAGTCTGGGCAGAGGACAATCCGCCAGGGTTAGCTAAAAACCGGCCTCCAATTGTAGTCCAGCTGACCAGCAGTGCCACCCCAGTCAGAGTCGGGCAATATCCAATGAGCCAGAAGGCGAGAGTGGGAATCGCCAAGCACATTAAGAAGCTAAAAGAGGCTGGAATCTTGATTCCTTGCAATCTGCTTGGAACACTCCCCTGTTGCCAGTACAGAAACCAGGGACTGAGGATTTCAGGCCGGTGCAGGACTTAAGGGAAGTAAACAAGAGGGTTGAGACTATCCATCCCACGATTCCGAACCCTTCTCAGCCTCCTCAAGCCAGAACACCGGTTCTATACTGTTTTAAACCTAAAGGATGCCTTTTTCTCCCTTCCCCTGGCAAAGCAGAGTCAACCTATTTTCGCCTTCGAGTGGGTGGACCCGACAGAGGGAGAGTCTGGACAGTTAACTTGGACCAGGTTGCCACAAGGGTTTAAGAACTCACCCACTCTGTTCGATGAGGCCCTAAACCAAGACCTCCGGGAGTTCCGTCAGGACCATCCACGGGTGACTCTGCTCCAATATGTAGACGACCTCCTACTGGCCACGGAGGAGGAACAGGACTGTAGACAGGCCACTCGAGAGTTGCTAACCACCCTAGATCATTTGGGGTATCGGGTCTCAGCCAAGAAAGCTCAGCTATGCACTACCCGAGTAACATATTTGAGTTACAACATAGAAGGGGGTAGGCGAACTTTATCCAGTAGCAAAATAAAGGCCATCTTGTCAATCCCCAGGCCTACCACCAAAAAGCAGGTCCGGGAGTTCCTCGGGGCAGTGGGTTATTGCAGGCTATGGATACTAGGTTTTGCAAAAATTGCAAGACCACTATACTCTGCAACAGGGGGAAAGAAGGCCGCCCTGGTCTGGACAGAAAAGGAAGAAGAGGCTTATAAGAGACTGAAAAAAGCCCTAGTAAGCGCCCCGGCACTCGCCCTGCCAGACCTAAACAAACCCTTTCAGCTATATGTAGCTGAAAACAAAGTGGTGGCAAAAGGGGTCCTCACACAACCCCTAGGACCATGGAAACGCCCCGTAGCTTATCTCTCTAAGAGACTTGACCCGGTGGCCTCGGGATGGCCCAACTGCTTGAGAGCCATTGCAGCCACCGCCCTGCTGGTAAAGGAAGCCTCAAAGCTAACCTTTGGCCAAAATCTCCAAGTAGTTGTTCCGCATGCAGTTGAGACCTTATTAAGGAGCCCCCCGGAGAGATGGATGTCCAACGCCCGCATTACCCAGTACCAGGTGTTACTGCTAGACCCACCACGAGTCAGCTTCCTGAAAACAGCTGCCTTAAACCCGGCCACACTCCTCCCTGACGAGGAGGCAGAGCCCCCTTTGCATGACTGCGAGGAGACATTGACTGCCCTCACTTCCCTCCGAGAGGACCTTGTGGACCAGCCCCTGCAGAATCCAGATGAGACCCTCTACACGGACGGGAGCAGCATCGTAGAGGAAGGTACCCGGTATGCGGGGGCGGCAGTGGTGACACAAAAGGAGGTTCTCTGGGCACAGGCCTTAGGAGGACGCACCTCAGCCCAAAAGGCAGAACTTATATCACTCACTCAGGCCCTCCGTTGGGGAAAAGGAAAAAGAGAGAACATTTTAACAGACAATCGGTATGCTTTCGCCACTGTACATGTGCATGGGGCATATCAGGAAAGAGGCCTCCTGACCTCAGGAGGAAAGGACATTAAAAATGCTTCTGAGATACTTAACCTCCTGGCAGCCATATGGGGGCCAAAAGAAGTGGCAGTAATTCATTGCCGAGGGCACCAGAAGGGTGATAGTCCCGAAGCACAGGGAAATCGACTTGCAGACCAAACCGCCAAGGACGTGGCTAAAAGACCAGTAGGGCCCCTAGAAGTTCTCGTAGCCCTGCCAGCATGAAGGCTCCCAGAGAAGCCTACTTATCTGACGGGGGAGCAGAGGCTAGCTGTGAAACTAGGGGCCCAGGAAGGAGAGGCTGGATGGCTAATCCTGCCAGACGGAAGGCCTATAGTGCCAGAAGCCCTGGGGCGGACCATCGCTTCCCAGACCCATCAGAGCACCCACCTGGGGGGAACAAAGCTATCAGAACTACTGGGAAGAGAATTTTACATCCCAGGGCTCCAGAAAATATCCTAAGATGTGGCTAGAAGGTGCCAAGTGTGTGCCCGGGTAAACCAAGGGCCCCCTGTTGTGGCCGCGCCGGGGCAGCGATTCCAAGGACAGAACCCTGGAGAACACTGGGAAGTGGACTTCACCGAGATACCAGGAGGACAAGGAGGGTATAAATACTTGCTGGTTTTCATTGATACCTTCTCTGGCTGGCCTGAGGCATACCCAACCAAGGCAGAGACAGCACAGGTAGTAGTTAGAAAACTCCTCACTGAAATTGTCCCCCGGTTTGGCCTGCCACTATACATGGGGTCCGATAATGGCCCAGCGTTCATCGCCAAAGTTACACAATCCATAGTTAAAGCCCTGAGAGTTACCTGAAAATTCCATTGTGTCTATAGGCCACAAAGTTCTGGACAGGTAAAGAGAATGAATCGGACCTTAAAGGAAACATTAACTAAATTAAAATTAAAGACTGGCGAAAACTGGGTAAGTCTCCTTCCTTTTGCTCTCCTCAGAGCTAGGTGCACTCCAAACATAAAGGGACTCACCCCTTTTGAAATTATGTTTGGCAGGTCACCACCTCTTCTTCCCCGCCTAAGGGAGGAAGAGCTTGCCCGACTGTCTACCCGAAATTTGCTTAAGTCCTTACAGGCTTTGCAGAGCAGCGCCGCGTCGGCACGACGGGTGGTGAGAGCCGTACGGGAGGAGGATGTGCTGAGATCCAGTCCAACACAGCCTGCCTTCTCTCCGGGAGATCTCGTTTGGGTGAAGCGTCACAACCCTGGCAGCCTGGAACCTAGATGGGATGGACCCTACCAGGTGGTGCTGAGCACTCCAACCGCCATCAAAGTCGCAGGAAAAAGGCACTGGATCCATCGTACGCAGGTTAAGAAAACGAACGACAGCGTCAAGGGATGGCGAGTCCAGAAGACCGGAGACCCGTTGAAGGTCAGACTCACTCGGTGTTCTTCCTAACTCTCCTCATCTGCCTGCAGCCGGGACTGGGAAATCCCCATTTGGCCAAAAATTACTCTTAGGAGGTCACACGTACTATTGATGGGACAGTTATAGGCTCTGTTGTTGGAATAGGGGCGCCTGTCATCCCGACAGATCTCTATAAACTGTTTGGAAAAAACTGGGAAAATTCCCGTAGCAAAACTGCATCAACTGGGTATGGCTCGGGGGGCCATCCCCGAGTCACCAAAGCCAGGGGTTACGGGTGCGGAAACCTAACCCTAGAGCAAAAATTGTGGCACACTCGACATTATGTCTGCCCCCGGGAAGCGGGTAGTAACTGTGGAGGAGAGGGTGACTTCTATTGTGCCTCTTGGGGTTGTGAGACCCTAGCCCCATGGAAAAAACCTCCCACCGACAAGCTCCTCCGTCTGAACAGAGAGGTTCGACCTGGGGCCCCGAAGAAGAACTGCACGATCGGAAATTGTAACCCCGTCCTCCTCATGCCTCTCGCCTGGTGGACTGACCAATGGGAAGGGGGAAAAACGTGGGGACTAAGACTCTATGTAAGCGGCCGAGACCCTGGCCAGCTCTTCACCATTCAACGCCGGACTCTTCCCCGGTGGTTCAACCCGATTGGCCCCTTGCATCCCCTAGACAAGCCAGAGAGGCCGAGCCAGCCACAGCACCCAGCCCCAGCTAAACCTCCTGGTTCCCCTGGGTCACAAAGGTCTGGGAGCCCCAGCCCTACTCCACCTGCAGCCACGACCTCGCCAGCCCTTGGGGACCTACAACAGCTTTTGGATACAGGCGCAGGAAAACCAAACCAGAAGCTGCTGGGAACCTTGGACTTAATGTTTTCTTTCCTAAATCGCACCTCTCCAAACCTGACCGCAGATTGCTGGCTGTGCCTCAACCCTGAACCCCCTTATTATGTTGGGATAGGGGCAGGGGCCCAGCTCGGGAAGGACGCTTCTGCCATCAGGAACCTTTCGGCAGAAAGTCTGCCAGACAGACTGTGTATGTGGGGACACAAACACCAAGGACTTACTCTTGGGGACATCTTAAACCCCGGGACTTGTGTGTACCCTATGAACTACCCCCTTAGCAGTTCCACCTATACAGATCTATGTAATTCATCTATCATACTTCCAAAGAATTATACAGGAGAGACCCCCACCTACTTAGTAGCTCCGGAGGGGACTTGGTGGGCATGTACAACTGGTATAACCCCTTGCATCTTCTCTCCAGTCCTCCAGAATCCAATGGACCCTGGACTATGCATTCTAACTCATATCCTCCCACAGGTATATTACTATTCGGGAGAAGGGGGCCGAGAACATTTAAACCTCGAACCCAGAAGGGTTAAAAGGGCCCCCATCCTAATTCCCCTCCTTATGGGAATAGGACTAGCAGGGTCCACGGCCGTCGGAACAGCCGCCCTAACAACCGGCCACCAGAATTATAAAGAGTTAAATAGGCAAATAAATCAAGATTTAAACTCTCTCGAAAAATCTGTTAGCCAACTGGAGGACTCCCTTAGTTGACTCGCAGAGATAGTATTACAAAACAGACGAGGCCTAAATCTGCTTTTCCTGAAGCAGGGAGGCCTCTGTCTGGCTTTAGGGGAGTCTTGCTGTTTCTACACCAACCACTCGGGGTTGATCAGGGAAAACCTTAGCCAGCTGCGAAAACGGCTGGCTGACCGAGAAGAGGCTAGAAGGGCTGAAGGCAATTGATATGAAAATTTATTTTCCTGGTCCCCCTGGCTAACTACCCTGCTCTCCTCCTTGGCAGGACCAGTCGTTCTGCTCCTGCTAGGGCTCATATTTGGCCCCTGCATTGCCAGATGCCTCCTCAATTTCATACAAAATCGAATACAAGCTGTAAAGTTAATGGTTTTATACACCCAATACTCCAAAATCTTAGAGGAAGACGCTAAATCAAAGATTTGATTCCCAATAAGACCAGTAGGGAATGTACTGGGCTGCATATCGGGGCGCGCTGTGCTGTCTGTTCCTGGAACAGACAGATAGGAAGGTACTGACATCAGGTCAGGGCTTGAGATATGGTCTCATGGTTCCTCCTCAATATACTGTGCTCTCTGTTCCCGGAAAACATAGATAGGAAGGTGATAATGCTATACTGTGTCGGGAACAAATTGCGTAAACAAGGCTTTGTAACTTTGTAGTTTTTGCAAATAAATATGCTGTAACTTTTGCAGTCTGGACCACAGTTCAGCCTTTTGCTTCGGTGGGGTGCTGGAACTGTCGTCAGCTGGCCAGCTTAATAAAGGCACCTAAATTTAAATTCTGAGTCAGTGGTCTATCTCGCTGAGTCAACCCATAACAATATCAGCAGGCTTGTTCTTGTGCATTTCTGGCAGAGTCCTGATTTGCTAATTTAGCCACTCTAATATCAAGAACCTACTGTATTCATACAATACTGAGCACTTGCTCATCTGCATGGCGGTGATGTTTGGTCAACAAAGTTATCTGCTGTCTTCCCGTCGATCTCATCTTTGTCGTTCTCAAACATCAACCCACTAACCCCCGGTCATTGATACCAATGCCGCCAGTGACCTCGAGTTTAACAGGGAAAGGGGGCAATTAACTGAGCCTCTCGGTATCACCTCTTCAAGTCAGGTTCGAGAGGTAACTGTCAGAACACAGCCACCATCTCCTCTCCGTGTTCTAAAACACAACACGAGAGAGGAAGTGTCTTTTGGGAGACGATCTCGGGCGCCCAAACTCTCCCCAAGCCGGGGCCCCGCCAGGCCCTCTTCCCAGCGAGGTCCACACCCACCTCTGGCTTCCGGGATCCTGAACTAATTCTCCGGCAACGCCCTGCGGACTGGCGGAGGCAGCAAGGCCTCCCGTCCCCCTCCATCTCCTCCAGCCGCGCCCTACGTGGTCTACCCCGCTGAGCCGCCTCCGCCTCGCCCCCATCACTTACCGACCCGCCCTATTCACAGGCCGCCGCCGTTCCCCGGTGCATTCGCGAGGCCGAACTCCCCGCCCGAAAGCCGAGGCCGGGAGAAAAGAAGGACTCCAAATCCCACTCCGTAAACACGTTTGAATTTCCCCGCTGCTAATGCCACGACCGCCTATTGGTCGATGGTGGTCACGTGAAAGCGTCTGTCGTGATTGGCTCGTGTGCGTCGGCACCGCCCCTTCCTCTACGACCCGTGCGTCCTGGCCAGGGAGGGTCCTTGCGGGGACGCCTCCGCTGCTGCGCGGGGTTCTTAGTTGCTGGTTGTCCGCAGGCGCCTGGTGGCCGGCTTTCCTGCACCTTCCAGTTTAATCAGCCAGATTTTTGTCCCGGCGGGAGCCACCCCTGGGCGGAGTTACCCGGGGAGAGGAAAACGGGCGGGGACGCTGCTCCCGGCGTGTGGACCTCAAAGGTGCCCTGAGAACAAGTCCTTCTCCCTGACCGCCACCCCATTCCTGCGTCCTCGGCGCTCCTCACTGCCGGGCTTAGGGAGGAGGCGGCTAGAAAGGATGGTTCACTGCGCAGCCCTGCTGCCAGCTCAAGATCTCAGTGCCTGTGTCAGCTCCCACTGGTGCCCTGCCGCTGCCCTTCGTGATTCCATGCTTGCCTCCAAGCCACGGCCTGTCCTTTGTCAGAATTGTGCGCAGAACTCGCCCTTCACGATTGCTCATCAGCCCCTCATCCTCCGAGCCTGTCTCACTTACGGGCTCAAGAATCATCAGAGAAAGGTCACTTTTCGAGTAATCTACCCCCGTGCGGGGCTCTGCTAAGTGGCTTTGCGATCTAAGGCAACGAGAAGTCTGTTGTACCAGCATCGTGACATGCGCGCTGGTAGGACAGTTGTTGGGTTTTGTGTGTGTGTGTGCTGGAAACTAGCTGCAGCTGTCCCTTGGTAACTCCAAAGCTGTTGTTAGAACCCTCGCCTTCCCAGCTCTGGCTAGCCACCATGAAAGCCCTCCCTTACTTAATAAATGTTTCCATACCTGCAGGCTATGTATTTTTACCCGAGCAGAGCAAAATGATCGGCTAATCACCACCTTTGCACCATTGCATATAACACTGCCTTTAGTAGGAAGGAATTTACTATCCCACCAATTCTTATTTCTAAAAATAATATTCTTCAGGTCTCCTTTCTTTGAAAACTCTCTGAAATCAATAAAAGACATATATGTAAAAAAAGAAAAGTTACAAATTATATATGTGGCTCACATTTTATATCTTGGATGGTGTTGCTAGAAACTAAAGCAGCCACTAAAAAGCAAAAACAAAACAAAAGTTATAGCTAATCATTGAAAATAGGAAAAATTAAAATGTTCAATAAATCCAAAATGAAGCAGAAAATCACAAACGAGGAAAAAAGAACAGGTAAGAAAAACAGAAAAGATAGAAAATGATATATTAAATCCAACTATATAATCACATTAATTGTACATGATCAAAAAACACCTCCTAAAAGGATAGAGATTTTTATATTTAATAAAAAATCCCAAGTATCAACTATCTTCTGGCTGCAATAAACCCACTTTAAGTATGAAGACAAATAAGATAAAAGTAAAAGGATGTAAAAAGATATGCCATGCTAACACTATTAAATACAGAACAAGGAAGACCTAACTTGGCAGAGGTCAAGGAAAACAGACTTAGGAGTTTTTGATCATCTAGTTAAAGTGATCTTTCATCTCTGATGTAGGATATTTTTTTAATGTATCCTCAGACATGGATCCAGATTGAAAACTTGTCAGAAGTTAAGTGCATCTGCTGGAAATCTACATCAAATGCTTTAGAGTTCAGTCCCAAATTCTAAATCACAGGTACTGAGAGAGCTGTGAAAGTAGGCACTGTTTCTTTCTGATGACTAAGAGAAGTTTGACACATTATATAGCAATGAATAGAACACAAAATCTGTGAAAACAGGCTAGAGAGTTCCAAAACCCCCAGTGGATGTCTGAAACCATGGATAATATTGTATTCTATATATACACAACATTTTTGTCTATACATACACACCTATGATAAAGTTTAACTTACAAATAAGGCACATTAAGGGATTAACAGTAACTAATAAAATATAACAATATATTGTAATAAAAAGTTATGTGAATGTGGTCTCTCTCAAAATATCTTATTGTAATGTACTCATCTTTCTTCTTGTGATGATTTAAGATGATAAAATGCCTATGTAATGAGAGGTGAGGTGATGACATAGGCACTGTGACTTAGCTTTAGGCTACTATTGCCCTGATGGTATATTATAAAGAGGATCATCTGCTTGGGGTGACCCCGGATCACTAAATCATGACGATGTCAATGGTTGAGCAGATGGTATCCATGGTTGAGCTTGTCAATGGTTGATGATTGAGGAAATTTAATATTTTGGGGCCTTGGTTGACTGCAGGTAACTGAAACTGCAGAAAATGAAACCATGGAGAGCAGCATCTCCCATCTGTGGGTACATACACCTGCACCTAGTTCTGAAGGGCCCAGGAAAATGCTAGCTGTATGCAAGTTTTCCCAAGACCTCATTAGCCTATAGGTTCATTCAGTCACCTAAAGACTAAGATTTCCCCATCTGCATAATGCTGATTCTCAGCCTGAGTTTTCCCTTTGGAGTTTTCTGAGAGTCACAGGGGGTTTCTTACTTGTGATCAAAAACAAGTCTAGCCTCAGTGGATGCCACATTTCTCCTCTAAGGATCCCCACTGCTCTCCTAGACTCTGTTTCTCTGAGCATCTCATTCTTTGCTAAGCACAAACTACTTTACCAAACTCTGCATGATTCTTAAAAGTTCACAGTTGTAAACCTTGGTGGTCTGTGGCAAATTGGGTTTACCTCTCCTTTGTAACTTCCAATCTGAGAAGTCAAGAGCAATGCAGTATGTGTATGTGCCTTAATGTTCTATGGAGTGTGCTGTGAATGCTCTCAGTTTTTGCTCATAGCCTCACGTGGCCTAGCATGTAGATACTGATGTATGGACTGGTCTGGGAACAATGCTATACTCAGAACCTCTTTCCTGCTCTAATGACTAAGGGTTTGTTACTGGGGAGCTCATTGCACCTTCCTCCTTCCACCCTTAAAATGAATTCTCTCTCAGGGGATTCTATAGCCCTCTTTCAGCTTGACTTCTGTCAGAGTATCTCATAATGTACCTCAATTGCCCAGTAACCCAAGCAGGAAACAAAGCTCGTGTTCCTTCCCAAGGTTCTTCAGGTCCCAGGAAATTAGGTTGGCTTCACAAATTCCCAGACATGCTTAGACAGGCCTGAACCTGCAGGAATTGCAACCCAGATTCAAGCTGAAACTTTGCTATCCTGATGCACAACAAAAATCTTCAAATGAACTCAGCTGTGACAAACCTCTAAATCACACAAAGCCGCTCCACACCCCTAGCAATAAAGGCAGCCAGTAGTAACAGAGGACATAAGGTGGCAGCAAAAACAATGGAAAGGCCACCTAGGGAACACAGAAGCCAATCACCATACAGGACATTCTGCCAAGGGCAGGAAGGAATTTGGGCTTTCAATAATTCTGCTGAAATTCTTCCATAATACTCAAGCTGGGGGCACAGGTTACACGTTTTTAAAAATATGTTTTTATTGATTTTAGAGAAGAAGGGAGAGGGAGAGAGAGTGAATCATTGACTGGCTGCCTCCTGCACAATCCCTACTGGAAATCAACCCAGGTATGAGCCCTGACCAGGAATCCAACCAGCAATCTCTCAGTGCATGGGACCATGCTCAGCCAACTGAGCAACACTGGCCAAGGCATTACTTGTTAATATATAGGTACATAGACTGGAAGGATAAAAATAGCATTAAAATAGTTACTATTTGGATAATGGAATTGTGGCACTTTTTCTAAATAAAGTTTAGTTTTTATACTGTCTTACTCTATTTTCCCAATGAAAAGCCAAGGAAAAAAGTGAAGGTTGCTATTATATACATCTGTGAGCCTAACTATTCGAAGATCCTCAGCACAGCAACAACTCTTGCTCAAACCAAGAATTAATCACTAATTCTCTCTAATTTCTTACTTAGTTTGTGAGTGTATATGTTAAAAGCCATAACACAGGAATAGCAGAAGCTTAGTTCACAAATTAAAAGAACTATCATATTTGCTTATAATCTATTAGAGGCTCAGTGCACAAAATTTGAGCACAAGTTGGGTTCCTCGGCCTGGCCAGCGATCAGGGCCAATCTGTGAGGCAACCGGTGGGGCAATTGGAGGGCCACCACTGGCACCCCCATTGGCTGGCCTGGTGCCACCCGCTTGCCAGCCCCTGAAACGGGCTGGGGCTTGCGAGCTGGGGGCAGCTCCTGCATTGAGGGCCTGCCCCCTGGTGGTCAGTGTGCATCATAGCGACTGGTTGTTCTGCCGTTCAGTCCATTTGCATATTAGGCTTTTATTATATAGGATAAATCACTTGAAACCCAACTCCATGCCCCATTCTTAGAGAGTGTGGGAAATTCAGTAACAGTTGGGATTCCACCTACTCAAGACTGTACCTTGTGTCTTGTGTATCACTAAGACTTTGGAGGGCCTTAGTCATCAATCATTTACTCACACTGGTTACTGCCAAAGTGCCAGGGTATTTCCAGGGAATCTCCTGCTTTGGTCCACAGACAGGTTCCTGGATACATCAGGAAGGCTGATAGCATCGGTGCTGAAGGTGCAGCCTTCTGAGTGCCCCCAGAAAGAAGCCAGCTTGTTTAGGGGTCTTGCTATGTTTTGTTTCTGAGGCAAGGAAATACTATACTAAGGGTCTAGCCACCTGTTTGGAATACATAAGTTTTTTTTAAAGCCCTCAACATTTATTTGTGGAGAACATTTATAACAATTAAAACACAAACCAGTTAACTTGGTAACAGAGCTGTGATAATAAACATAATAAGCAGTTTTCTGAAATTCTGAAATAATTTCTGCAGATTAAGTATAAGATATGGAATGCTTCAAGTATCTATCATCTATCTATCTATCTATCTATCTATCTACTTATCTATCTTATCTGAAATTATCTTTTAATGGTGTCTCCCATGAGGGGTCTGAATTAACTTGTTATGTGAATATATAGAGGAGTCAAGACCTTTCTTCAGTTAAGAAAAAAATTTAAAACATTATTTTAATATAATATTTTAGGTTCTCAAATTTCCTTATTATAGTATTAAATGTG